TATTATATGTGATAGAAAATGCGAATCATCGATCTAAGCATGACGTTGCGTATAACAATTAAAGATATTAAAATAATAAATAATAATAATAATATAATAAAATAATATAATAATAATAATAAGTAATAATAATAAGTAATAAATAATAAGTATAATAATTAAAGATATTAAAGTGTGTAAAAAAATAATGTGCTCCGAAAATACGAGGCTGTTGATGTTTCATTCGATTCTAAGTGAAATGAAACATCCTAGATTGATGAGAACGCGGTTTACCTGCGTTGCCGTGTCGGTATTTGTCGCGTGGCACGAGTTGGGTCATACGTTTTCATTAGGCTAATTAACATAGCGACATTGACATTGCGACAATGTCACGGTACAAAAAAATTCATCCGTTCCCTTTATCGTGACTTTCTATTTTACGGTACTTTTTTCGTAGTGTCATGTTGTTTGCCCGCACGCTTTTACTTTGATATTGCGTTTGTCAATCAAGTAAATTGCCAAAGGCCATCGTTATCCGCGTTGCCAATATCGTCGATCGCTCATAGAGAAATATTCATCCCGGCTTCTCGAGAAAGGTAACTTCTCTCGAGTCATCCTGTATGTGATACGAATATTTAATACGAATATTTAATACGAATATTTAATACGAAGAAGGAAGGCAGTTTCGTGAAGGACACGAAACGCGGGCCGATTAATGGACTTCCGGCGAGAGAGGAGACGTCAGGCGCGGCGAGACGCGACGAGAGGGCCGCAGAAACCGCACCGACGAAACCGCAAACTGTCGCGTTGCACACAATCAGCTGGACGCACCGCGGATGGGAAAACCTTCCTCCGAGCGGAAGTGTTTACACGCAAATCGCTCGCGTGGGGGAGAAGCGACGCGCAAATTATGCGGAATTTACCCCTTCTGGCGAGATAAAAATAATCTTATCTGCGGTCGCCGTCTCCTCTTCCCCTCCTTCCTCTTTAATTTAGAACATTGTGCTTCATTAACATGATATTTTCTCGCATGCTTTATACACCATTCTTACTCTTTGCTGCTGCAACGTTTACAAACACAGAAATCGGGATGCGCAGTTTGCGAGAAAGAGAGGGAGGGAGGGAGATATCGTGCCGAGTCACCCTCGCGGATGATGGGGAAGTAAACAAACGTCGGAGAAAATGTTTGTCAGGGGTAGCGCCGCGACGTCACGCGAAGGCGCCTTCCTGGCGCCGTCGTTCGATCCGTCCATCGATTCGCATCCTGTAAGGATATAATCCCGGCGAAGAGAGAGAGTCAACCGTTCCGATGGCGCCTGGCGCCAACCTCCCCTCTTCCTCTCGTTGTCCAACCTTCGAGCTACTCTCTAACTCTCTCGTCGATCTCGTTCGACGAGAGAGTTAGAGAGATAATTATTTCGCTAGGATTGCAATCTCGTGTTATCTAGGTTTAAGTTAAACTGCCCGTGTATGGTCAGATTCCAAGGCTCTTCATTAGTTTTAATTGTTATTTCTCTTTAATTGTTGGTTCTGTGGCTTTCGGTCGGTCGAGACGTAATGTTAAGACCACGAGATGTAATTTCGAAGGCTTACCGTGTTTTCCGTCGTAATTTCTGACGTGGACAATATCGTTCGACGAAACTTTCTGATAAATAACCGCTCGGTAGTTATCGATGCACAGTATCTTTTGTCTGGTACATTATTGTTTTGATAATTGGAATCGAGATAACGAGATAAGTCGCGCTGTTCGTTTTATGATGGATCTCATATCTCGGGATTGAATGAGTTTTATGATCGTAATCGAAAAACATGTACGTAACAGAAAAACATCGTTAAATTTTCCGTCATGTTGATTCTTGACATATCTTGATTGCATGCATGTTTGATATAAAATTTCGAGTAGGTTGCTCGCATCTTTCTTTTTACCTTGTCGTCGAGAAATACTGCGATACTTGGAAGTCTATCGAGTGTGGCTCTAGAACTTTCTAATCGGCATCTATTGAATCGCTTTCAGTTGTATATATCCGCTGAAGAGTTTCACTATTTAAAGCCGTTTCCGTAGACGACAGTCTTGAGAAGTTCAGCGAGTGTGAATCGAATCGTGATTTTCATGCTGCACACGGCGATGACATAATGAATAGATTATTTCTTTTTGCTATTTCGAGACACGTCGCATATATATTATCGACCATTAATCTACAAATATATCCCCTGAACCGAAATAGACTGTTGCAACACTTTACCATATTCCACGCATTTATTTTAAATACATATGGAACTAGAAATTATTTCTTCAAGTGCACGATTATAGCGATTTTCCATGTTTTTTTTTTCATCTTTAGAAGTTTATTCTAAAGAGTTTATTCTAATAGAGAAATCTATATTCTAAAAAATCTATATTCTACAAAGATTTATATTTTAGGTCTCTAAGAGATTATTCAAATAAAAATGAAAACATGCTTTGATAGAAGAGAAAAATGGAGAAATGTTTGCTGTTTCAAAAGTATAAAAACATGAATGTATTCTGCATTGCATTTGAATCTTGCTTTCATACAGCGAAACATTTGCTTTGTATAATGTATACGAAATTTACATATTATATTATATATTCGGTTCTATATAATAATATAATTTGTACTTTCCGAATAGAGAGAGTTCAAATACAAGATGTTTTAATATCGTTCCCATTATCAGATTCTTTGACAGATATGATTTATGTATAATACATAGTATTCTATAATTACTTTTAAAGTGAAGCTCATACATAAAATGATCATTTTAATTATAAATACTTATATGAAAAAAAGAGAAAAAGAATTATACATATATTGATCAAGAATCTATGAAGGAGAGATTTACTCAAGACTTTCTCTCTCTCTCTCTCTCTTGCTAGAAAAGCAATGCTAGAAATTCTACATATAATACTCAGAAATCGTAATCCGAGGAAAATCGAGTGACAAAGCTTGATACACGATATACGGATACAAAGATGATCCGAGGGGTAGATCGCGCAGAAAGGGAGAAAGGGAGAAAGAGAGACGGAACGCGCACGCGGAGCGGGAGCGGGAGCGGAATATATTGATTGTCGCAGAGTTGGAGCGCCGCTTCCCCCCGCCTCGCCCCTCCACGCGCGGCGGTGCCGTCCGTCCGGCAGTCAGCTGACTCGAGTTACCCGACTCACAGCTGATCCGACGCACGCCGCCGTGGTGGCGCAACCGCCGTCGCATTGCCGCCCTCGCGTCTCTTCTCTTTCCTCCGTTCTCTACATCATTCTTCGCCTTCGATGGACTCGCCTTCTCTTCGTTCCTCTCCGTCCCTCGTACGCGTGCAATCGCCCCCTTGAAATGCGATAGACGCGCGAAGGGAGACCTTGCGAGAAATCCGAAAGGAAAAAGACACAAAGTACAATAAGAGATGTGTATGAAGCGAATCGGTATTTTATCGCTCTCTCGATAAATCGACAAGTGTGATTCTATTTCGCTCGAATGTTTCGAGCGGACAGGGTTAAAGAAACCAATCCCATTTGACGTCTCGTCTCGAATGTCTCGTTTTCTTCGTAGAGAAAAAGGTAAACGGGGAGGGAGGCAAGAGTGTTGTCTTTGTGGCAATCCGATCGTTACTCCGGAAACAAGGCGTGTCCTAAATAATTCGTTTCTGAAGTGGAATTGGTGTCCTTTTGACAGAGTTCCTTTTTGGCGTATATACACGTTGGCTAGATATTTCTGGCTTCTACAATAATCGATTGATCGCTCCTCGCTATAAATAACTCCTTCATTGACGAAGATGTGCTTCCACTCGGGCTTGTAATTGCAAGGACTATGATTTACTTTAAATACGCGAGTTTAAAATAAATTCTAGATTATACATATATTTAAAGTGTATATAGGTCTTATATATGTGTACATGCTTAAGAGACTTGACAGATTCGATTATAAATGTTTTAAATATGATACCTATGATAGATTATTTTTTACATTCTTTTCTACATATATACATGTCATGTATTGACTCGATAAACACTTTTCATCAACTTTGAGCGAAACTTTGTATATATAAATATAAATGCAATACATATCGCTGCTTTAAATCATCGATATTTTAAAATATATAGCTATTTTAAACTCGACAAAAGCATTATTTTAGTTTTACATTTTGCGAACATTCCGTGCATGTAAATATGATTTATAGCTCTTTCTCAGAATCCTTGAAATTTACATCGCGAGAGGTCAATTCTGAGGTCGTGCTAATTCCTACCATATCCGACTTCAGGAAGGTTAGATTCGATGGGGATCAACGCGCCCATACCTCGTGGTCGCTTTAATACTACACAACAACACGGCGCACGTAACAGCGAAATAAATGTCCCACCGGATAAAAATGTGTACGCGTATTTCGATCTTGCGTATATAGTCGAATAATTAAACGAGATGTTCTGGAAGAGGCATGTATGCAACTCAATTCATTAAAAATGATATGAAACAAAAGAGCGTCTATAGATAACATTTGCTAAATATGTATAAATTGAAAAAATTATTAAATGAATTATTTAAATTAAATTTAGTTATCTAAAGAAATTTTTGTAAAATTTATATATATATATATTTTAATTAATTAATTATTTAGGAACTTTATTAATTAAAAAATTCAATTGAATAATTAATATTTAGTTGTGAATATAGTAATCAATATAAAGATTACTTAAATATTTATAATAATTAAATTTATTAACTGGTCCATTTCAAAAAGAGAGAGAAAGAGAGAAATCTTATCATTTTCAAATAAGCATATTTTCTAAAACTCTAGAATTTTTTATTTTTTATTAATATTCTATCTTATAATTTATAATTCTTCTTTTCCTGCTTATCCATAAATTTATATATATAATTTTTCTCAAATAAATAAATAGTATTATTTTACTATTACTTATTTTTCATATGTTACTTTTCCTCTTAAAAGTGAAAATATTGGAAAATATGAATTTTAATGCGATGTAGAAAGGTATCATCCGCATAGCATTTAATTCGCATTACATTTCGGTGCGTTTCATCCTCGGTCGTGATTCGGTGATTCGTCAGGCCGCGATCTCGGCAGTCGCATTCGTGCGCTCGACGGTGGCGCGTCGAGTAGCACGAGGGTGTCCGATGATCCGATCTTCTATGAATGGAGGGAAGGGAGCTGTTGTCGGAGGGATTCGCGTTCGCGAGATGCGCGAGAAACGCGGACAACGCCTCGTCCGGATCGGACGTCGCAATCGGTCACTTTGGTACATCTGAGCAGCGCGTTTTCAGAGTTCGTGACGATTAGTCCCTTTAGATAATCTTATCCTCATTCATTCCACGTGTTTTCGCCCCTTTTTTCGCGCTCGCGAGTGACGAACCCATTCAACGCGCTCCTGAAAGAACGAGCGCCTTCTCTCTGCTCGTCGTCCTGTTATATTCGTCGTACATGATAATGTGATGGGCAGTGATAATGAGACGCGATGCGACGTGATTCGATTAGGAGAAATACCGCAGCATTGACCACGACGTGATGCGACAAGAGCAGAATAAAGAGGACTGTTTTGTGTGATCCTGTGGAGGATGCTGCGGACGGAATAATCTCGCGGAGAAACGCATATTTTTTTTAACAGTATTAACCGTTAATTTATGAGAGAAATATTCAAGTTTTTCGATGATAAAATTCATCTGACGTTTGATTCACTAATTAAAATCGACGGACTTATTTGTTCAAAATTGTTCTAAATCTAATATATTTAAAAAATATGGAGATTATATGTCACGAAGCTGCACATACATAATGTTAACATTTTTGTTTATATTTTTTTAAGAATGAGATATTGATGGTTTTGTAATATTTTTAAATCTATTAAAATCGAAAACAAATTATCCGTTATTTTCAGAAGAATTCCGCAGCATATTCCATAACGAGCTTCTTGAAAAAGAATTATTATTTCTAGGTAATTTTATTTATTTGACTGAATGCTTCTTATCAAGACGAAATAAAACTTGATTAGATCATTACTACCCGCGGAGAATGAACAAGTTGTAATATGAAGAAAAAGACGAGAATTACTAAAGTATTGAGTGTTAGAAATTAAATAGATCAATATTAATCGAAAATGAATAAGAATAGGATAAAAAACAATAATTATTAAAGCGATACAAGTTGGAGCTTGAATAGGTTGATGCGCATATTTTTTACCTGAAACTCCTTGTAAATTTTTGAACAAGATATTTCGAAGATATTACGGGTTTGCGTGTCTAGAGAATGAGAAAAGAAGGTAGTCTTTTATTTACTCGCCTGGTCCTTTGGGAGATTCCCACTGAGCGGCCACTTGTGACGAATTCTTTCTATCAGAATCAAGGACGAAATAGTAGTCTTCACAATCAGCAGGGACTATGGATCTTTTAGAGAGCATGAGATAAAGGGGATATTTCTGAAATAGATGACCAAATTTTACAGCATATTTCATTCACTTCTCGAAATTGCATACATAAATTGTATAAATAATACATATGTGCAAATATAAATAGAATTAAAATATATATAAATAATTGAAGATGAATTGCAAGTTTTTAGCCGGGAGAAAAGATCGTGACTTATCGAAGTCTCTTTGTGTGGTGAATCTGGAACGCTGCTTTCTCCTGCGTCTTTAGTGTTATGTTCTTGAATTGCATACGTTAAGTGCGATTTAAATTTTGGACGTGACCTCATCCGGGTCACGATCAAGGACGCATATGTCACGGCTTCGTGCAGCCAGAATGGAGCTACTTGGCTCCGAACTTTTCGTTCATTTCGCGATGCACCGACATTTGAATTTACGCTCGGTCGACTAACCGGGTTGATAGTTCACGTAATGCACTCTGTGTTATCATCGTAATACTCGTTGATATCTATTACAGTACTTTTTATCATAATTATTATTATCTATTTAATTTAAGTGAATTATAAAATCGCGATGTATACCGAGATTTTTATGATTTTTATACGATATTCTTTATTCTTCATCTTTTTAAATATTTTTTAAAGAAGACTATCTTTTTAAAAAATAGATCGAGAAGAGAGAAAAGACGGGACGGACACGTGGTTTTAATTTTAGAGAAAGACGTGCAAATTTCTCTCTCGACTTCTATCGTGTATTACACAAGGGCTTCGTCCGGCGACATAGTTTGCGTTTTACCTTTGCACTGGTAACCGGTACGGGGAAACTATGTTCGTGGAAACAACTTTGTACCAATAAAAACAAGCTTTCGAGGAAAGCGAAAATTGAAGGAATAACTGAGCGTTTCGTTAAGTGCGCCAACATTTTTAGTTTTACGCTATCTATCTTACTTAACGTATATAAAATAATTTTAATAAATAAATTATTTTTCGTTACATTAATCATTTTATACGAGACATTCCAAGTTAAATTTTGCGGATAATTATTACAACCGGTATTTATTAGCTATCAATACGACAAAAAAAATGCATTTTTGTCACAATAGTCACATATAGTCGCGAATTTTGCAGAATACGATCGTAATTCCGCGTAAAAAATTAAAACGTTCGATATATTCGTCACGAAAATTCATTAATTTTATTTTGCTGACCGCCCTTTTATGAAGATCGATAATCTCTTGGTTCCCGATTATATTTTCCTTCATGGCGTTATGGATGCACGTGTAAGCGATAACCCAGTTTCTCTCTCGTCAAACACATCGAAGCGACAAACTCGCGGCATTACCTGAAGAAATGAGAAGCCTGGCATCGCGCCAACGACGCGTGTTGCTGAAATTTTTCTAGTGAATCGCGCGCGAGAACCAAGGAGAGAGAAAGAGAGAAAATTGTAAGAAAGGGGGTCGAGGAAAATGCAATTTATCGATATATAGATTCCCCGAGAGTATACGCGATGAATAGTAATTTGATACATGTACGGATCATGTATATATATCTGCTGCATCGACTCAAATAAAAGTTTAAGATTATCAGTGACAGCTGCACAGCTGTGGCCTCTTGAAATATTACAATAATGCTCGATTTATAACTTTATGATCGAACGCGAACGCGCGCTTGAATTTTGCTCCAGATCGACAACCGATCCTTTCGCGCTCGTTCTCGTAAACGAGATCGATTGTCTTCCAAGGAGTGTCTTCCGCACCTTCTGTCGACTTCCCGCGAGCTATTTCTTGTCGAATCGATTCACCATCATTGTGCTATACGTGAATTCTCAGACTTGAAGAGACGACGAACCTGAGCTCGAAAATAAATCGCTTTTAAATCGAAGAAATCATTCGAGGAAGTAATGCCCTGGGAATCACGCACACGAACATTCGGAAGAATCTTGAAATTATTAGTAAAGCGGGATTTCAGAAAGCACTGAAAAAATATTATTATTCCTAGGAAAATCAAGATCTATTCGGAGCGAACCCATGTTTGAAACTCACGACTATTGAGGACAAGCGAGTCTTTCAGGAAGAAAGAAAAAGAACGCAAAGTATAAAGAAATATAATCACAGAGATTGTGAGAAAAATACATAAGAATCCACCCAAAGTTATAGAATCGTTCGCCTGAATAAACATCAAGAGCGACCGCGTCTCTAATTCTCCAATTTCCAAACAAACGAATCCACGCGAATCAAAGCCCGAGAAAGACGTTTCTCGTCTCGGAACATCTCGGAACATTTGGAACATTCCGTCCTCGATACCTCGAAGAACCACTCGGAGGTGCCGCGAGCCTCGCAGCCTCCCTCGCTCCTTCGAGAGGAACCGGGACGAAAGCAAAGTCCCGGCACGTGCTGGCCAGAGTTCGATGACAATTGAACAAGATTTGGTGCCTACCCAGCGTGCGTGAGCGGATCCTCGGGCACGAGGGCGGCGCGCCGAGGAGGTCGTCCTCGACCACGACGATCACGACGACGACGATGCTGCGATCGCCGGCGCGCGGCGCGGTTACCGTCCTGGGACCGCGGGAGCCCTCGTCCGCCTCCGCCTCCGCCTCCGCATCCGCTGCGGTGGCGGCGGCGGCGGCCGCGGTGGCATCCTCGGCCACCACCGTCTCGGCGCCGCCGACGCCGGTGCACCACGGCGGCGCCGGCACCGGTACCGGTAGCTCGAGCAGCGCCTCCTCCTCGCGTCTCTCCCTGCTCGACACCTGCCACAGGAAGATCAGGCTCTTCGGCGAGCTAGTCGCGTGAGTTCCCCCGCAAACGCTCGCGTAGATATGTACATATATGTATGTGTATGCGCGCGAGTTTCCGCCACACAATGTGTGTGAAATTGTTGGTACCGGTGTAATTAAATCTCGTATCCTGTCGTATTCAAAGTTACGGTCGAGAAAAAATTATGTAAATTGTACTTATACACGGTATACGTTATAAGGATAATTAAGTAATGTTGTTACACGTGATTAGACAAATATGTATACACGGGAGAGATATATATATATATATTATATACGGTTGATTTATGCCAATTTTTTTTCTTGCGCGAAGCTGCAGCTTCTTTCCAGGAGCATGTGCTTTCTAGAGAGCGATTAAAGCGCTTTGGACCGTGTAGACGTGGCTGAACATGATGCTGCTATCGTTATTGCATGTAATTGCATTTTTCACTGGCAGGAAGCTGGATGTGCGACGTGGCTGCTGCGTATTGAATCAAGCTCGAAAACATGATATACTCGGAATCAATATTAATATTTAGTTCTCATTTACAAACGAAGATACCATTTTAATTACGTATTATTGCGCGTTCGTATTAATTGGGATTATCCATGTTGATTAACTTGATGCACAAACATTTTTATTATCTTTTGATGTGTTCCGTTGCAAAGTTTTACTTACATATTTGTATACAAAAATTATATACGATACAATGGAATGGTAATATTCTCTATATTATAATTATGTAGCGCTTGATTACGATAACAGTACATTGCAACGATCGACTTTTATTGTTATTTCCAGTTTTCCGCTGTAACATCGAGAAACAGTGTTATTATTATTATTTCATATTATTATTAAAGGATTCCTATAATTAAACACGATATTGAAAATGTTCTCTGGCATTCTATTTACGCAGAAAAGAAATTCTCGTTTGTTTCTCGTTGAATTTGAAACGTGAGAAATATAACACCTATGGCTTCGCTGATAGATTAAAGACAAATTGAATAGAGAGTCGGGAAGCGCCGAGGGTAATTGTACAAATCCGATAATTCGCTAATCTGATTAATGAATTCGCGCTACTCGATTAAAGACGAAACGCTCTCGTCCAATCTATTCCGGTCAATCTGGAGACCGCAAATTAGCGAGAACCGACAGTGAATCGACAATCACTGCAATGCACTGTGAAAAATTTCTCGTTCATTTTCATTGACGATTTTCCGGGGATTTGCTTTTAACGATGAGAAACAATAGACGATAACATCAGAGTCATAAGTCATCAATTTTGTTATTATTTATATTGATCATTGTGACATTTCGTAATTTTTCATCAAATTACGTGATTTGATATTCTGTAATAAAACTGATCTTGTTCCTTTGACAAATATCAATCTCTTATTAAACGTCACTAAGTATTATTATAAGCTAATGTTTTTTTTTTCAATTGCGAATTCTTTGACTATTCTTATAATAATAAAATTCCAACAAAGAATTTCTCTCTCTTTCTCTTTCTCTCTCTCTCTCTCTCTCTCTCTCTCTCTCTCTCTCTCTCTCTCTCTCTCTTTCTCTCTGATATCGATCATAATAATTGAGCAATTTGATTTTCGGACAGCGTGCTCATTAATCTCACACACGCGGGGCTGTGCTACATTACATCTATATATTTGCGCAATACCTATGGTTTTGCTTGATTGGCTTGAACGTTTTAAAGATCGCCATGTGCGAAGAGGCTGCGCCGCATGATTCACTGATCGTGCGAATGTTCTCTCGTTTTGCAGAAAAGCCAGACGAAAGGAGAAAGATGCGGGAGCCACGGAGGATCCTAAACTATACCTGGAGGAGGCTGCTCTCGAGAGACAGTTGCCGGAGCTGGACCTGAGGATGCTCGTGGATCTACCGCCCGGTCTGGATTACAACGAATGGCTGGCATCGCATACCCTCGCACTATTCGATCATATTAATCTCGTCTACGGCACGATATCCGAGTTTTGCACCATGACAGGTTGTCCCGATATGACCGGTCCCGGCTTAAGGTACCTTGTAAACTCCGTTTTTTTTTCCAGTTATTTGCGATCTCGAAAAAATTGCATCTCTGATTTACTCGAGCATATTTGAGGGAATTATATTTTTGTTTATTATAGAGTAAAAATATACCGCGTACATAATGTAAAGAGCATTATATTTTTCCATTTTATATTGTTACATTTTTTGTTGAAATTTTTATATAAGTTTGCTAAAGATGAAGGAAAAATCGATATGATGGGAAATTTGAAATTTTGAAAATTTATTTACAATTTCTTCGACATACTGAAATTAAACGTTTGCATTACTATACAAATGCAATCTGCCTATATGCAATCTAAATACCATTATGTTATCATGATATATTTTGAATAGAGAATTAATAGTTTTTATTGATAAAATTTTGAATTTTGATCCAAATTATTTATCGATCACCTTTGCTTATTATTTGCTTATACCGTTAATGTCTTGCATTCGAAATAACTAATCGATTGACACACAACTGCTTTATCATTCTAGAACGTATCTATGGTTCGACGAAAAGGGGAAAAAAACGAGAGTGGCAGCACCACAATATATAGACTATGTTATGACATTTACACAACGCACCGTTAGCGATGAAACTATATTCCCTACAAAATACGGTGAGTCATTCAATCTTTATATTATCACATCATTTGTTCAGTTTGTCACAATTTATTTCTATAACTAAAATAATTATGTAATTAATAAGTGTTATAGCTTTGTTCTTAATAATTGCTAATATCACATAAAGACTTATCAATTATTAATCGATCGAGAGATATGTTTATTATATTTGTTATATTTTTTTATTTTATATTATATATTACGCTTAAATTATTAATTAAGATGTGAGAAGCATCAATGGGTTAATTATTGTCGATTAACTATTTTTTTTAGCAAACGAGTTTCCTAGCTCGTTTGAGTCGATAGTGCGTAAGATCCTGCGGCTACTGTACCACGTGGTGGCACACATCTACCACTGCCACTTCAGGGAGGTGGCGCTCTTGGGGTTGCACGCTCACCTCAATTGTGTATTCGCCCACCTCACGCTCCTTAATCAACGCTTCAACCTTATAGATCCCAAGGAGACGGAGATCCTGGGAGACCTAGAGGCCGCCCTCTTGGGTAAGCTTTATATGTTACCGCCGTTGCCACACCGATGCGGTATTGATCGATGCTGATTACGCAATACCGGCAAGAGATCCGAGAACGAATTGCACGATAGAGTATTTTCTTTGACGATCGATAGAATCATGTTTGTGTGTCTCAAGAAAACACACTTCTCATTATCGTAATTGTTTATTCGATATTGGTCAAATAGAGCTTAGAGGTAAAAAAAATTTATTGAAAAAAAAGGAAAAGATTGAAACTGTATGTCAAAGTACCTCCGATATTCTCCCAGCAATTATCGGCGATTATCGGAGAGATACGCGTTGTTGAGAGAAATATAGACTTACTCGTAAAGACCAGTGAAGCGACGAGAAGGCTCCCTTGTGGAGATCAATTTGCGCGATTATTAAGGGACGAACCCAATTATGGTGCATTAAGGTGTATATTTAGCCGGCTATATTACATGCTTCGCCGGAGAGATACATGTTTGATTTTATATTATCGATTCCTTCCCCGACTGCTTGTTTGCAGGTGACTCAACATCCGCGCCTTCACAGACTTTAGCCATCCAGGAGACTCCGACCTCCACAACCACTACCAGTACCACCTAGATCGCCGCAATGCGTAATAGCATGCGAGCAGAGGTTGCAGTTCCTGAGATTAGGTGACGATAGGCGATTTGTTCGTTCATTTGGTTTTTTTGCCTCCTTTTTGTTTTTTTTATAGTCACATGCGAAAAAAATAGAATTTATTGCGATATGATCGGCCCATGGATGGTGGGAAAGAGAGAGAGAGAGAGAGAGAGAGAGAGAATGAGAGGAAGAGAAAGAGAGAGAGAGAGAGAGAGAGAGAGAATGAGGAAAAGCGTCGATTTCTGTAAAAACAAAGAAAAAAGATACCAGTAGTACCTGTACATAGTAAAGTGTGAACAACTACATGATGTAATTAGGTTCCTCCGTTTGTTGTTTGTGAGATTGTACATAATTTATTAAATGATAAGATATATATACGAGAGAAAGAGAGAAAAAAAAATAACGAGTGAGAGTGAAAGAACGCGAGAGCGAACGAGAAAGTGAGAACGCGATAGGAAAAAATGAGTATTGATTATTATTGACAAAGTTAGTTGCTATAAGAGATGATTTGTTCTGTAAAAAATGATACAATAATAATATTGTAAAGTTAAAATAATACCAAATATATACCTGGTGTTAAGGCACATGTTTTATCGATACGAGTTAAAAGTGCGTGATAAGAAGGAATCCATTTCCTCCTAGAAGTAAACTTATCTTCTCAATTATTGATCAAGTCACAGAAGCCCTTCGAAGATCTTTAATCTTAAATTACTTAAAATTGCTTTCCTTCTTCCTTTGTGGTTTTCAAGAATTTCTAATTTCCACTTACAAATTCAGGTGCAAGCAGTAGTGGTCGACGCGTGGATGTGCTTCACTTCAACGAGTCTAATCGCGGCGCAAAGATTCGCAATTTCTCTCAAAAATAGGCCTATCGCTTCGGCTATCGGTTCGCAGAGATCCCTTAACGACGTAGCGATATTATAAAGAAGAATCAGTACTGGCTGCACGAGAGCGTTGAATAGAATGGATAACAGCGGTTTCACAAAATAATCCGCTATCAACTGAAGTATCCCCACTGTCAGCGGCCGAATCACACTATACAGAATGAAACGGAGGAGCTGCAGAATAAAAGCCGTAACGAAGGCGATGCCGATATGAATTGTGCCGAAGATTTCTGCCCAAAAACGGGTTGCCGCTTGATCCGTTTTTTCAGCGCACTTGTCCGTAGTTAGGACAGGATGACAATCGGTTGTTCGATAATATCTGCAAGAAACATCATCGTTCCGACTCATTTTGTTTAATTAATGTATACAATTATATGTCAAACTTTCCTTTCCACCTCGCGTTACGTTATTCAGTGAGACTGACTTAAACATTTTTCTTAATTATACTTAATTATTACATTAATCGAGAAATATCAGTGCGTAAAGTAAAATTCTGGGAATATCTTGTATATATCGCGCACCAAGATAAGCGGAACCTACGCGGAGCTTCCGTGATCGAAGTAGTAAATCTCGATCTTCTCCGCCACTTCCTCTCTCTTGAGTTTCGTCTTCGCCGGATACTTGAGGGGCTTTGATTTACCGGCATCGTACTTAGTACTTTTACTCGGTATCCCATCCGACATCTCGTAAGCGGCGGGGGGTTGAAATTCATGAGGTAGCTGCGACGCGTTCAGATGCTGTTTAGACACGCTTTTGAAAGGCACCTGAGCATAGTGAGGACACTGAACCTGTTTCAACTTTATCTCATACATCTTGTTCTCTTTGCCAAAGTATCCATTTCTTGGCCGCTTCCAGCTAAAACGGCTCCAGAACTGCCGTGGTTGCGGTTTTTCTAAATGAACATATGTTTATAGAATGTACTTTAATTTCTTCAGATGTGAAATATATGTCGAATAATTTTTATTAATATTATTTATCTTCGCATGCAAAAGATTCTTATAATTTTCTTATATTTTTAATCTCTGTAAAACTAGGATAGGATCCGAATTTAATGACAGAAGAATGTTTTACAATTCTCCAAGTATATACGTGCAAATCAAATATATCGTCATTTCGATTATAGATAATTTTATAATATAATGTATGATGCATATATACCTTTTTTAAGTTTCACAGGCAGAACGTAACCATTGCTGAAATGATAAATCTGCTTTTGAGAAACAAATTGGCTAACAGATAATGGAGGGCGTGATGGCGTTACATTTTGTGACTACGGCATAAGCATGGAGAGAAGCTCAATTGCGTCGTTGCAAGCCGACTTCTTGAAATCTCTCGCTGGCGATCCGGTTTTGCTGGAACTGTGGATGGAGCTTCCGCTTTCGCTACACAATAAGTTGCAACTGGTGACGCATCGATTGAACATTTACAATCCGTATCTGTACACAATATTTAAGCATTTAATTGTTTATAAATTAATTTTAAAGGATAGGTAACTTAGTTCAATTTTTGGGACACTTGATGATAGCCTCTCGATTTCGTAGAAAGCTGTGCGTGCCTTTAGGTCCTTCAACAGCATCGTTTCCCTTCTCAATTGTCTTGGTACAGACCGCATTCACATCGGAATTTACGGCCGAGGTAACATCGTCCGAGTGCAAGGATGTTAGATTGGATGGTTCGGTTGTATCAGTGCAAGAACAATCCTCTCCGGTAACCATGTTATCAAACATTTCCTTACAATAAAACACATGGAAAATTATATAAAGTAACATAAACATCGAATATAACGCAAACAGAAACTGTCAGAACAATAACAAAAACGATTTGCAATTATATATATGATGCATACGTGTTGTTATCAAGTCGTATCGATTCTAATATATATGTGTATATATATATAGATGTAATGAGTTTAAATTCACTATAGATACACGAGAATAAAATCTGTAATATTGCATGCTAAAAATTAAAATTAAAAAAAAATAATTTTTATATCTAATTAACTCACTATATAAAAAAATTTTAAATAAAATTTAGAATTCATAAATAAAAAAGTATTTTTTTTTCAGCATTCTGTAGAAAATATACGAAGAGATAAATCACATTGTATTAATTGTAGCGAGTGATTTCAACATCACAAGTATAAACTCAAATAAGAGAATTATCGAGAATCTTTTATAATTCATAAAAAAAGAAATTCTTTTCAGATCTATATTAATGGAAATCTATATTTCAAATCTATATTAATAGAAATCTCTGTTTATCTATATCATATTTTCTCCAGAAAACAAAAGTCAGATGTACTTTGCGTGCTGTATATTATTTTTTATTCTTTTCTTGCAGTTATACGACATAGTTTTCTCCAAATGATATACCAAAAATTATTACATCTTTTTAATATATGTATATATCATTTTCTTTAAAGTTTTCTCTCTCGAGTGAAATAGATACACATTAGATTCTTATTTACATTAGATAGAGCTTGGAAGTAGAATATATAGGACGATTATACCATTCAAAGAGACAGAGTAATGATGTATCATCATCGTGTGAATACATTGTGTTATAATTCGTCAAAAATTTAACAGCAATTTGAACATTCAATGTATGTGTGTTATACATGTTGTTTTCGTATTACCTCGCAAATCACAGTGATGGTAAAATCGTATTGTAAATTACGATTTTACATACCTAGGAAGAATTTTTTTTTCTTTGTATAAGATAGGATCTTAAAAACTATGAATTATCCTTATAGAATTTAAGAAAAAGCGTAGCGATAGAAACGTGCATAGGTATGTAAAATAACGATATATATCCTTTAACTATAAAAACATCATCATTATTTTTCATCGTTCTGTTTCGCTACTATTTGATACTTATGATTTGCGAGACAGAGATCGGTATAATTTACGAAGAATTAAATGTTATGCCAAGCCTGGCGTTTCATTTATGCGTTAAAGAAACGCCAGGAGAAGATTACTATCATGTTCCTATTTTGCTTATCTACATTTGAATTCAGCAAAATTATATCGATCCCAATTTTCAAGATATTACATAATACATATAAGAAGTTAAGATAATACATCTTATTTCGACAATTAAACCTTCCGAATGAAAGAAATAATTACACTACGCAATCGTTAACAATATTTTTCTATAAATCTCAGTTGGACTAGATTGCGAAATAAAAAGTATGTAAAAATTGAATTCAATTCTCTATGCGAAATAATACCTTCGACGAATAATATAATTATCCGAATATATTGATATCATAGTACAATCAATATATTATACTTTTATACTGCTATATATTTTTTTATATAATATTTATACACGTATCTCTTTGCTAACAACATTGACATGGAGTACTCGTTTTGCAATAATTGTGTATAATTGCTATTTCAGGTGTATCCATATTAAAACTATCTGTATGTTTCAACATTTTGTACACAAGTGTTTCTTATCGTTCTGTACAAGAAATCGTTGGGTGAAAACTTGTACTAACTATAATATTATAATACGATATTATAATAATTGGTAAATTTCGAATTTAGAGTTGAACGTGTATGACAGTGATTTTAAAGACTTCATAGTCTTCTAAATCATACTAAAATAAAGCTGATATAGTTATTTACAGACGCGTCAAATAAAATATACAATATTTACATAAAAAATGAGTAGTTATATTAAAACATGAATTTATCATAATGGAAAAACAGAAACTTTGTCATACAATTAGCATTAAAATACATATCCTATAATCTTATCATAGGTACGTTGTTACGTACTTAGAAAATTTTGTAATAAATTAAATATATATCTAAAAAAATCACACAAAGCTATATTATATAAATATTCAATTTTTGATCGATTCGCTTTCATATGCACTCACAGAAATAAAAATCGTGATCAAAAAATAATTAAACGCACCCGAGAGTTTAGGTTTATATTTTATATATATTATTATCACATCTTTTTTCTCTCTCTTTGATAATTGATTAGATTCTGAAAATTTTTTATTTCACATCCTATAATATGATGCACGATATAATTTCAATATTAGCATCACATAAAACATTAATGATAGCAATGAAGTCATCATATTATTATGTAATTAAATTATTTTTGTGAAATACTTTATATCAGATAAAACATAAACTGTAAAAATGTATTTTTCTATACTTAAAAAATTTGTTTTATATTAGTTAAAAGAAATTAAAACTAAATTGAACTATTTCACTCTTTCAACAAGGTTTCCATTTCCGTGAGCGCACCTAAAGAAATAATACTTGCAATAATAATATTCAAGACTTCTTTGAGAATAATTAAAGATTTCATAATATATTGTATAAAAAAATTGGACGTTCACTCTATTGTTATCTTCATTATAAAATGCTATCATTAATTTTGGAATGTACAAGCAGTATATAATTTCATTTTTGCAATAATCTGTATACATAATTTGGAAGAAAAAGTTATCAGTTTAATATTTAAATACTAAGTACAATATTCGTGCGCCCAAATTAGAGCGCTCTTTGTTGTCATATTAAATAATTTCTTTGTTACGTAACAATATTTTAAACTCACTCTTTGCTTAATATATAAAAAGCGATTTTTGTGACTTAAGTTTTTTTGACAAGATATGCTTGATATATATATTATATATATGCTACAACAATTCTTAAATAAATATTACAAATAATCTTTGTAATATTGATTTGTGATCGCAAGTATCGCATTATCATAATAAAAATTACATTTTACAGTCACAATAATAATTGATACAAATAGTAGTTAATCTCAACAAAAGTTTTATAATATTGAGTACACATAAATGCATTTCAAGAAGCATAACATGGCACTTAAGTCAGGTAGAGAGTCTTATAAATACGAACAATAGAGTAAACAATGTAAATAGCTGTTATGCAGTTTTTGCTTTTTGACTATAATTCTACTGCACAACATTTGATTTTCTTACGCATTCTAATTTGCATGATTTATACACATTTATAGCATGATATATATAGGCCACATTTTTAATATTCATTTTTTGCATCTTATACAAATTTTATTCTTTGTGTGCTTTTAATTAATTTTTTTACATGTCAAAAAATTTTTATTATTGTTTTACATGCGTTATGTGCATTTATTTTTTTTAATTACGAATTATTTGAATTTATCAAAGATATATAGATGCATTAGATGCATGGATTCTTTGAATGTTCATGTAAAGGAAAACCACAAATTTTTAATTATTCCTTTATGTAATGAAATAATTGTAATTGTGTAATAATCTTATAGATTAAATTATTTGATCAGGGCTTTATACATGTGTTATTGAATATTATGTACTTTCAAGCTCCAAGTGCGTTTACTTCTTGAAGAAGATGATCTGATAAATTATTAATTGCTCCATTTCATAATTATCCATTATGATATTGAATTCAAATGTGGAATGATGAGTAATTATTAGTAAATAAACACGATATAAGGTAAATTATTAATATTTACAACACGCGCCTATTTTAAAGAATTGTTATCTTAATAATTAGATGAAGAATGTTAGAAATATAAAAAGGATGATACAACCTGTGTAACAATCAGTTGAGATAATTATATTAGCCCTCTATTGCTCAAAATCCAGTCTAAGATTACAGATTAATTTTTCAATATCCAAATTCCTCTTCATGTATTTCTCTTCATTTATCAGCTATTATAATTTCAAAATTATATATATATGTATATATATAATAATATGAAAATTTATTCTTTCTTTGAAAATATATTTTTTCATTTAATTTGGGCAATAAAGAGTTAATTGATGAATTGAAGAAATATTTGTGCAATTAAGTTGTTCTGTCTCTCATCGATATCTTTAAGTAGAGCACAGGTGGGATATGCACATTTGTGAAATGTAAGTCTTTCACGAGTACAAGTCGAGAAATTGTTATTCAACGACTATTGTACAATAGACCTACTTATAGAGTGAAATCGTTCGTGTATATGCGTAATTACTGCCGTATTGGAAAGTCACTTACGTGTTTGCGGCAACTCTTTGGTAGCCCAAGAAGTACGTCAGGCATAAGTGATATGGTGTATATGTGGGTGTGTGTACAATTAGCTTCTCATGGCTGCGATAGCGCAATACAGTCTCGTTTTAATATTCTTTTACAAGATTCTAAACGTACTGAAAGTTATCTTTCTGCGCAAGCAAAGGTAACTTCTCGATGCTTTGTTTGAGATCGAAACTGTGCAACCAGTCCGAGCTAGGTTTCGCTTTCACCCCGCAAAAGCTGAAATTGCAAAAATCTGCGGCGTTCTGCAGAGCACCGCGATGGAACGGATTCCCCTGCTTGAAATGTTTATAACGACCAGCGTTCATTCGTTCATTCGTTGTCATTCCCAGGACCATGATCTGTGAAAATACGTAAAATTAATCAACCATTTTTTAACTATTAAAATATGATTCCTTCATTGGTTTTAATTTATAAAATGTACATTATAAAATTAGACTCGCGCATTTTACCTGATAACATTGACACGCCAACAGAGTTCCTACCCAAAAGGAATGAAGTGATGTGTTAGCTGCCACCCACATTACCCAAGCATCGCAGGTAGCCGCCGCTACTAAATAATTGTCTGCACTGTGACCGTTCGTCAAGTTTGACCAACATTCGAATTTCCAATACTGTACACTAGCGGTTAAAATAACGATACACAATCCAAGCAAAGACGCCAGAAATCCAAGGAAATACTTGTGATTATGTGCACCTGCAAATTATACAATTAGCCCATTGTTTAACGTTATATACTTCATTGTCTAATTGTATAACTTATTAATTTTTATAATAGTGAAATGAAAAGAACAAATAGAGTAAAATGGCTAAAAGGAAAAATGAAAAAATTTACCACTTGGTATCAAAATTAAAAAATTTTATATATATATATATATATATAAAGCAAATTGAAAAAATGATAATAGTTTTTATTTACCGATGCAATTATTAACCCATGGACAATGATGATCGAATCGCGCTACACAACGGTCGCATGTGGAACAATGTTTAGACCTCATGGGTCTTCTGACTAAACAGCTACTGCAAAACCATTGTGGTTCAAAACCACCGGATTCGGCCAATTCGATTATCGTCTGCAGATGAAGATATATTTAATTTTTCATGTATATTGGTTAATTTTACATATTTATATAGAAATAATAGAAATAATAAAAAGTACATTTAATTTATCCTCGTGAGTCGCTGTGATAATTCCGGGATCACCTCGCCAAGACTGTAGAAAGCATATCCAGAGAGGAACAGAACCACCAACTAATAATAACCATAAATACCATGCTGCATGGACTCCGAGCCAAAATATCCACGTAACATATATCCACATCTAAAAAAAATATAATTCATATTTAAAATATATAATTCATTCAAAATTCAATTAAAATCGACATATAATCAATTGCAAAAAAATGTCTGTACTAATATATGCATAAATATGTTTTAACAAAGTATATCAATGCAAAATATATTTATAAATGATGGGATATTGACATTTTGTAAAGTTATCGCATTTTTCAATGTATATTATTTTGTTTAAATATCAATAACAATTATATATTTCAATTTCCTAATATAATGATTTACATTTAAGTATTCATTGAAATTCATTATTATATTTTATTTTAAATTTATATAGTATTATTTTATGCATTGTATCATATTATCTTTTGAGCTTATCACCTTATCAATAATATTACTTATCATGCTTAGCAGCTTATCAGAAACTAATCGTACGTAAATGTCCTCGATTTATCTAGAATATATCGAATGATCAACTCACCTTAGTTGCCAAATAAATCGACATTGGTAATATATGGAACAGCCGTTCGTCGAACACGAAATGGTTCATTAAATACACCGCTACATAAAGGGTGATAAAGGCACCTAGTTTTAGTAAATAATCCCATCCGATCTGTAGAATCATGCCGATCACATAAAATGCTATGAATGGCGTACTGACCATGCAATACCAACGGATTCTCTACAAGAAAAAAATGGATAATGAGATAATGTAATTATATGTACAGAGAAACTGGAAAAAAATTAACTTAAATCTGTTGTAAACTCTACAGTCAACAGCAAAAAAATATTCTCAAATGAAAAGTTACTTTTATTCCAAGCTAATATATATCATGACATACTTATGGGATATTATCATTACCTTATCTCTACACCATGTTCTCGTGCGACCTTGCTTCTCTTTAATCTCCTGACTAATTTTGTGACCTAGCCATGCGGCGCCAATATGCGGGCCTAACAGCGTCATCGCGGTCTCATTTTGGAAATTGGGCAAATCTAACGAGGCCCCGTGTTGCACCAGAATAGATATCGCCGTGTTATTTTTCGCTATAATAGCCCAATGCAGCGCTGTGTTACCGTGCAGGTTGTCGGTGAGCGAGTGCGACGCACCTAGAGTCAACAGCAATCGTGTTGGATCTAAGCTGTAAAAGGAAAGACTTTAAAGTAACCAATATAGCGTTATTCTATTAGAGAAACCGTATTGCTTGTATTGTAATAACACGATACTCTATGTACCTGTTGACTTTGTAAGCACTCCACATGAGAGGTGTCATGGCGCTTCTATCTGGCATGTTCGGATTTACACCTTTCGCTACCAGATAAGCCACAATGGCTGTGTGACCAAATTGCGCTGCCAGATGTATGCATGAAAAACCTTCAGAGTCCCTCAAGGTTGGATCAGCACCTGCTCTCATCAGTATGACAACTGTAGAGAGATGACCCTGTCTAGAAGCACAATTAGAATTATTTTGTTTTATGTAAGTTTTTTATAAATTTATATCACAAGAAGGATAAGGATAAGACAGCTTATTTTCAAAATCTTCTATTATTTTCATTTAAATCAATTTATTAAGTAACATCAACAATGTTTATTAAAATAAATTCACCTTGTAGCCCAATGCAATGGCGTAGAAGCTAATTCACCACCAACTGCATCTACTACAGCTCCCTTTGCAATAAGATATTTAACAATATCTTTTCGATTATTTATGGCAGCCCAGTGGAGTAATGTTACAGTTTCTGAATCCGGTTGATTCACATCAGCACCAGCTTCCACCAATTCTGTCACTCGTTCCAATGCTCCATACTGTAAAAAAATTATCCTATTTAGTTTCAAATAAAAAAACTAATCATATTTTTTGATCATAGACATGATTAGTTTTATTAAATTATTAGGTTTTTTAAATTGAAAGTTTATTTATGTTAAACTCAAAGTGTTAAAAAAAAATATATTAAAATGTTAGATGCTTATATGCTTATTGTGAGTTTTTTTTACTTGTATAACTTGAATTTCTTTTAAATGTATATATTTAGGATAGTTTGAAGATAAATTCTCCAATTTAATTGATGATATTACCTGTGTAGCTCTGACAATATCAAAAGAACTACAATCTTGTGCAGCGGGTCGTGCTGGTTCCTGATGAAGGCTACTAGGATCATCGGGCTCACCAGTGCCCTCACCTTGGCAGGCAGTCTGCATCTGCAGCGCATACATCCTACAGCCAACAAAAATGTATTAAGTATCTTTAAAATATCCTTTTTAAACAATTTGAAATTTTTTGCTTTATTTAAAGCAGATTGTAATAACAAGATACACAATTTAATTTAATAATTTATATATTTATCAAATTTTATTATCATTTTTTTCTAGATTATATATAATTTTAATGATAGTATATACATTTCTAGTACAGCAAAAAGAATTAATCAATCAGTTGATGCAATTCCAATGTCTTTCTCTTTCCTTCTTTATCTCCTATTTTATTTATATTTATTTATTTTCTTTCCATTTTTAATTGATATACATATCTTTTTTTTCTTACATTAAATACAATAATGGTTTTCTTATTATTCACAATTTTGCATAATTATGTAAGCAAGAGAATCTACTTCAGAGCCTAAAATTTATCTTGAATTAAAAGACCAATTTCTTTTCTTGTTTATTCAATTTGATTCTGAAGTTGAGACGAGCGGCATATCAACGCGCGATTTCGTATTCGAGTCAGTAACAAGAGAGACCTTTGTATGCTGTGATGTGTATAAATTGTGCTAAATTATTGTTGTTGTCCAGAATACAATAGGTAATGCTTTTCAGTTAAAATTTTTATACTCTCCATATATGCATTTATATTTTAAATAGGGAGGAAAGAAGTACTGAACATGTAAATACATAAACATAAAATCCCTTTCACCTCAAAACAAGTATGTATTCAGCTATGATAGAGAAAAGAGGAAAAATTTTATTACTTGTAGGAGCACATTATTTATTATTGGATCTCGACTTATTGTTAAATATAAAATTCATATTTATATTTTAATGTTAATTAAAGCTGAAACTTGAATGTTTCTTGAGTTGACAAAAAATTAATTAAATTTGAGATAATTTTCTTATATTTGATAGACTTTTACAAGATATCTGCATCCACAAATACGTTAGATATTGCGAAAATAATAGATTGTATTTTTTTTAATAAAACATTAATATAACATCTTAATATAACACATTTTAATATAACATCTAATAATTTTTACTATAATTAATAAATTCTCTGTTTCTCTGTTAAATATAACAGAAATCACTAAGAATATCTGTTAACTGATTTAATAAATCTAATTAAATCTCTTGTAATTCTTTAGATTAACTTCCTTGAATTGTAACATCTTTTTTTCTAAAGTCTTTCTAACATCTTTCTTTCTTTCTTTAGATTAACTTTCACGAATTGTAACATTTTTCTTTCTAAAGTGCAACACAAGTGCAACATTGTTTATAGCAATTTTGTTTATCTTACTATACTATTAATATACTATATATCAATAACAAGGTCAATATATATTGTGTTGATGTCTCTTTTTCATTAATAACTCGTCAATTACCAATTCTATTTCGAACTAAATTATTTCAAGATATAGAACAATTAATTATACATGTCATACCATGTAAAATTAACAAGAAATATAACATTCTCTCTTTGCGAATTTTTATTGAAAGAATCTAAGAGTTTAGAAGTTTTAGAAGATGCAAAATACTCCCTTTTCCTTTCTTTTCGCCCTTATTCTATTTCGACGTAGAAGGGTTGACGCAACGCGACTCACCCTCGGGATATGTCTTTCTACCGAAAGATACAGGGGGAAAAAGAGAGAAAGAGAAAGAGAGAGAAATCGAAAAGCACTCGCCATCCACGCTGATCGATCTTATGAGTGCGCACAAAAATAAATCTTTATATATACGTACTTATAGATATACCAAAGGGTAGACCGGCTCACCTTGCGTTTTATGCGCCGCTAATGCACATAGTAACGTAAACGACGGCGTGCACGGCCCTAGTCGGGGATGTGTTGTAAAGGGTTAGTTTCGGAGGACCAGTAGTGTCGCGCACCAGGGAGTGGGGCACCGGCATCACACACACACATCTGCGCGCGCGCGCACACACGCACACGCTCCTCACGTACGACGACGCACGTTTGACGGAACCGGGGTCGATCTTTCCGTTGATTCTTCCCCACGAAAATTGTGCGTTCTCGATGTCCGCGTCTCTGTCCCGTTTTTCCTCCCCGATTAACGCGCACCGCGAGCAGCAGCGCCCGTCTCACTCGGCTCCGGTTCGTCGCGACTATCACAGTCGCCCCGTCATCATCGCGTTCCAGGTACTCGTCGGTGTTTGTCGGCGTTTATTACGCGACGGATCCCGATATCGACCAAACCCGACGCCGTCCGGTCGGTAACGGGTTCGACTCGAAACTCGGCGGATCAGGAGCATCGCGGAGACACCTGGCGTAGGGATCGTAGTAACCTCGCTGCACGAGATGAAGGTGAGATCGATTAAAAAAGGAAAAGTTAATTATTATTAAATTTAGTTTAATTAGACTACTTAAATTATTATTTAGTTTAATTATTATAGACGCAGAATAATGATGGAGCGCGCAGGACAAGATTAAGAAATGTGGAAAGATTCGTAATGAAATAAATACACATATAAGATGAAGTAATTGTGATCTTTTTATCATCCGAACCATCTCGCCATCTCTCTTGCGCGAAAAGATACTGGAAGGCGACACATTATCTCTCGGTCGATATCTTAATTAAAAATATATCTCGTATCTACAATTTGTGTATTCAATGATTATCGATTTGAAATGTCTATGTGTTTTTTATAACTGACAGTATGTTATATATGAATGAACGTAAACATTATGTATACATGAATGATTATTGCCAATGGAAGTTTTTCAGTAAATGACTCAGAAGACAGTAAATTATTCATCCTTGTTTACATTTGGCAATTAACAAGGATGAAGCGATACACTGTATCTTCTGTGTCCTTGGTTGCTGAAAAACGCCCAATATTGGCGACCTATACCAACATAATTTAAGATTCATTTTTATTATTCTAGTTAAAATATTACGTAAAATTATTAATTAAGATATTTAATTATTATTAATTATTGAGATATTTAATTATTATTAATTATTGAGATATTTAATTATTATTAATTATTAAGATATTTAATCATTGATTTATTAATTATCAAAAATGCAATTGATTTTAATTATTACATATCACATATAACATACTGTAAAATTATTATATTATATTATAACACATTATTTTTATCTGTCACATATTTACATATGCAAAATAAAACATCGTCGGTACGCACGAGACTTATAATGATATAAAAAAATATATCATACTTGTGAACGCAGCATTAGATGTGCGTCACATAGGAGGCGTGACCAACGAACCACACCACCGACGTTAACCAGTCGTGCGACAAGCGTCACGTGTGAGTGCTTGCGTCACGCACGAACATTATCGCTTCCGCCGTCCGTGTGTCTCGTGTCTGTACACGCGTAATTTGTGTGTGGCGTTTCCTCCTCTCCGGTTCTCACTGCGCACGGGGGATTTAATCGGGAACGAACAGCTGTTGTTCGCGCCGACGATAGAATACGGTTGACCGTCGTAACGACCGTGCATCGCTCTCGCGTATCGCAAGTGACGCATATAACGAGCACAGAATTCGACAGAGATTGTTGATTGAAAAAAGAACGACACTTTTCTCAAACAGGAAGTGACGAAAAGTGGCGAATCAAGTTTCTGGTGGCGCCTTTTGCGTTTCGCCCTGTTTATGCTGCGTGTAACTTGCAGTAACTTGTCGTAAACAGCGTCGTTTCGCGAGCGACTCTCGGTGACGAAATAATCGAGAAGATAAGGAGGATAACAAGAGGGATAGCAGAAACAACGAGGGACAACGAGGGACAACATCGTCGCGCGATTAAGAGCGTTATTAAGAACGAGAATTGCGGGACGAAAAAATAGCGACATGAATCTGTCATTCGCCGGCTGCGGCTTCCTTGGCATCTACCACGTCGGCGTGGCTGTCTGCTTCAAAAAGTATGCACCGCACTTGCTGCTCGACAAGATAAGCGGCGCATCCGCGGGTGCCATCGCCGCATGCAGCTTACTTTGTGACCTACCCCTCGGTGAGTGAATCTCTCTCTTTCTCTCTCTTTTTTTCCTTTGTCGATGTAAAGTATTCTTTTCGACGGACTTTTACAGAGAAATCGTAGGTAAAATTTGTCTCTCTCTCTTTCTTATCATTGGTATTTTTTTCGATGAATTTGATTAGACATATTTATCTAATTGTAAGACTGATCTGTCAACTGTCAAGATAAAATAATTTAGAATTTAATTTTCTAATTAACGGTGCATTTGAGTGTCGATAATATTTTTTTTACTTCACATATCGTATGCATATTTTTATTTGCATTTTTATTAGCTTCTTTATAAAAAAATGATTCAATTATATTTTTGTGTATATTCTATTTTTGGACATTGTTAATTGCGTCCGATGACTTACATTGTTAAAAAAAATCTCTTGCTTCATAGAATTGTAAGTTATATTGGTATCTTTTTTGGAAATTTAGAGATAGAAATTTAAATATTACTTTTGATCATTTTTTTCCTTTTGGAGTATGTCAAAAAACTATCAGTTTTTAAAGTTTTTTATTTTTATTTTTTTTTATTTATAGATAAATTTGTTTTTGCTCATAGTACATAGCATGTTTTACGTTTTTTTCTTCCTCAGCAAAAAAAAAACAAATTCGAATATATATATTGGAGTTTGTTTTTTTGCTGAAGAAGAAAAAACGTAAAACATGCTGCGTATTACGAGCGAAGACAAATTTATCTATGGAAAAGAGAAAATATAAATTGTACTTAAAAAAATGCAAAATTACTTAATAAATCAATTATATGCGAACATTAATAGCGAATAATTGCTTGGATGCTTAAATCAAATTACATGTTGCTACACAATGAATGTTACACGATCGAATGAATTTATTATTCAATAATTCACCGCGTGTCGTTACCGCGATAACGAGAGCAACCGCGAACTAGAATAATTAGCTTGTGACGCGCAAATTTGTAGCGTCCTACCCCTTCTCCTTTATTTATCATTTAATTGCACGCGTCATTGTTAGTTCTATTAAACATGCAAATGGCATTTCCAATAATTAAGTTAAAATTGCCGGTTCGTTTATGATGATATGTGCCATCGTCGAACAAAGAATAAAAGAATGCAAAGAATAAAAGAATAAAAAATTATTATTTCTTAAAAAAAGATAGATAATTAAAATGTACTATTGATTGGACAGTCACTTTTACAGTAACGACCATTTGAAATTGTTCATAGACAGTGAGGTCTCCTTATTTGCCTTGCAAAATTACGGAAAATCGTGAAAAATCTGAATTTTATATTTTTCTTTCAAGATATTTTTCAAATAAAAAGAATTTGTTTTTACGTCTTATTTAACTTCGTAATAACGATTCATTATACATTTCAACTTCAATAAGTTATGAGAGAAGGGGGAGATGGAATACCTTCATTATCTAAGCTAAGAACTTGTAAACAAGGGAATTGTGATGATTACATTGTGATTATTTCCGCTGCGCAAATATAATCGAACTTTTAGCTCGCAATTTATCGCGTTGACACGCTTTTAGATGTTGAAATCATTTACATATATATGCGTAAATGTCATTGCTTGATGCCAATCTTGTAAATAGACCACATGCAAACATAGACGAATGCAGCAAGCAATATTTTATTTTCCGCATTATAGATATATGTTATTTTTATTATCGTGAGACGGAGTAAGCACTTGGTTGTGTTTTCATCTCGAAGTGCGAAGTTTTGCATTATGTATTATGTATTATATATTACGAACTCTATGAATGTAATGTAAAGGAGAGTTAATTTAAAGGAGCATTAATATTAACAATCAATTTACGGGTTTTTTATGCCTTTTTAAAATTTAAAATAAAAATCTGAATTTAAATTTTTTTAATGCAATAAAGAGAGATACATTTAATGTAATTATGTAAGTCTAAAACATATAAAATAAATTTTCTTTCTCTGTAATCGTTTTTTAATATTATATTTTAGATTTTTATTTACAATTATTTTTATAATAAATTTTGTTTCCATTTATTTCATAGATTTGTTATTATTATTATTATTATTTTATATCAGAGAAAGAGTTATATTTGGAAAATGGATTAACCACAAGACCCAAAATAATCAATCGCATTTTGTTCAAGTAATTCGAAGTGAGGTATTACATAAATATTTTTTGCATACTTCGTATAATAATGTAATAATGTAATGAGAACTCATGAATTATTTTTGATGGATGCGATAATAAACAGAGGTTAAGCATTGTGGCATTTCATCGTCTTGCGTAAGTCCTAATTATGAAATTGAAACGAGTTAAACTTACATACATACATAAATACATACATACATACATACATACATACATACATACATACATACATACATACATATATACATATATATATATTTGAGAGACGTAATCTATTTAATTAAGAGGAAGCAGCTGTTGAGATGACGTAGTCATTCGAGAATTAACTCGGTAGACTTTAACACGCACGTAAAAAAACACAGCTGCTTTGTTTGTTAGCTCACAAGAGCTCTGATTTATATATTTACACGCAGATTCTATTTGATTCTTGATGTAAAATTGTTGAAAGATCTAAGAGGAGTTTTATGATTGAAATACTGACATATACACATATGAATATTTAACGTGGAAAAAAATTAATTGCTCTAAAAGAAAATTAATTTTTCTTCCAAAAATTAAAATAACTTTGAAGATAATGATTTCGCAAAGTATCTGATATTTATTTTAATTACGTAGTCGCAAGTCTGTAAAAATAAAATAGAAATTTGAAATTTAAATTAGCAAATTAATTTTAAAATCACCGAACTTGATTTATAGATATTAAAACGTTGAAAATAATTCAATCTCTAGTTTGCCTTTTCGCATCTTATTTTCACAAATCTTCAGTTGCATAAACAAGGTCAGACTAGATCGTATAACGTTAGGAATATATGTCATAAAGTAACAAACTAATCGATCTTATGACAAATATGTTTTCGTAATCCTCAAGCGTGAATCAAAATCATGGTCATGACGTGAATCGGAGAATAAACATTAGTGAAAGGGTTGGATGCTATCTCTTGTTGGCTCTCTCGCCACATATGTGCATCGATGTCACTGGAACTAGGTTACAATCACATGTTTATGGCGAGAAATATTATTATATATATACGACCGATATAATAGTTAACTGATATAATTTGATTTTTTATCGCGTTATATAATTTTGATGATATTGACCGAAAATTGCTTCATTGATTTAGTGACCTGTCAATTATCTAAATTAAGATTAGAAGAATATTTTCGTTATCAGTGAAGAGATCGTGAAAAAATTGTTCATTTGTTGTTTATGGCGCTTTAAGATATGCAAGATATGCGCGATAATTCCGAACAAAACGTCAGAGTTTATTGGCTAGAGATATTGTTTCAACGATAGTTTCAAAATTTGTACTTGAAGCTTATCTGTATGTATCGCGATAAAGATGATTATCAATGATCCATATCAAAATAATGATAAAGATGGACAAGATTATATTATTATCTTATGGTGTATGTCGATTATGATTTGTAGAAAAAAGAATCTTGCTCGAGATAAATTAATAAAATCAATACAGGAAACAAGAATATTGATCAATTTTATCGCATATAAAAAAGAATACTTGATACATATGTTGGTATACATATGTGACAATATTACGCATACATATGTGACACATGTATGTACAATATATTTCATATATCCTTTCAATGTATATTATAAAATTTACTATAAAATGACCTTCTTAAAGTTGGTCAATGTCGACAGTACAAAAACGACTAAGTGCCTCGCGAGCACATTTTAATATAAGATAGAAAAGAGTTGAGACAATGAAATATTCAACTATTTGACCAACATCATGTATTCCGCAATAGTGACATCATTTTTGATATTTTTTTATGGAAAAAATAATAATAACATATAATAAAAACATAATAATAACATATAAAAAACATATAAAGAGAATGTTAATTTATTAGCAGAATATTAATTTATTAGCAAAATATAATTTTTTATAAAAAAAATATAAGTAGAATGTTAATTTATGAGCAGAATATACATAAAAATTGGGTTGTAATTTTTAACTGTAATATATTTCCTTTGTGTAATTGTAAAATCAATATTTTACTTTGATCGTAACACTTGTTTGAGTTGACGAATTAATCACTCCTTTCTTTCTTTGTCGCGCAACTATATGTCAAAAATGACTCATGATCGATTGATACAATGTCAATACATCGCGATTACGTAATACCTCCTCGAAGATGTATTTTTTTTTCGACATTGATTAATATACATCGATCGTGTGAGCCAAGGACATCGTCATTCGAATGATGTTTATTAAAGGACTATTGTCTAAAGTCTAAAAGTTAATCTTTGCACAGGTCGACCTGATACGCAATTTCAGATGCTAAGTGCCATTGTTCACATGCGATGATGAACTTTGCACATGCATTTAATATTTTTAATATATCTTCCGTATCTTTGCGAATATATTCACAAGTAATCTTTGCCGTGAATCGCTGAATTATAAAAGTGTTTATCTTAAAATTGTTGTTTAATATCGTTGAAAGATTAGAGGAGACAAGGTTTATCGATTTGCCTTGATATTGCACGTGTATTAAATTTGCACATTTATTTCTTTTAATAAAAAAATAATTTTTATTTTACGAAATATTGATAAAGATGCATATCGTTTCTTTCTTTTATACAGAATTTCCATGAATTATTGTATATCATAATTTGTTTGTATAAAATAAGTTATTTTATTGTCTATTTTTTCAAAGTATTTTTTTGATAGCTAAATCTAAATAAGTTTGGATTACTAATATGTAGATTTTTTCAAAATTTGAGGAAAAATTCTAGTAGGTTTATCAGTATAGCTTAAAGATATATATATATATATATATATATATATATATATATATGAAACTTAAAAAAAATATATACATATATAACAAAAAATATATGAAACTAGCAAGATATGAAATAACGGTTCTGTTCGTCAACGGTAAATATGTCCATAGGTTAAATAGACTTTCATGCATATGCAATTCCAATTTCCTCTTACAATTGTTTTTATTCAGTTTTATTATTTATTTATTCCTACACCACACGCGTGGCATTTATGATACTTACATTACTTATTTTTTATAATACATTTTTTATAATACATAACATTTATCTTATTAGTATCAATGTATGTGTTATTATTACGTATTTTTACGTGTTCCTATCATTTATAATCATTAATATATTCGCAAATATAAAGCTTAATACTAGCATTAAAAAAGAAACACTCAGATTATTTTTTATCTAATATATTTCTTATATAAATTTGTTGTAAGAAATAGTTTCAGTTTGTAGGCACTACATTCGAAATCCTACATTTTTTCGGATAAGGACCGAATAATCAACAATTAAGTAAACAGATAATGATTTTCGATAATATACAATAAAGGATGTTTATTTAACTTCTGGAGATAATAAAATTTCTTTGAAAAGGATTGCAAATCGGAACATCTTTATTCCATATTTTTCGATTAACGTCAACGTCATTTCTTCTAACAATAAATAAATTTTATGAAACGTCGCAAAAATTTCCCTTTTGATCTTGAAAGGGGACATTTACTTGGCATTTTTCGCCACTTTTTTTTCTATTAAGTCGCATAATTAATTGCGCGGCGTAGAACTCCAAAGCAAATCTCATCCTGGTTGTCATTTCTATGATGTCAGACTTCACTCGTGCCTGTGTCTACAGTCGGATATGAGATACGGCGAACAAAGCGATGCTGTTTCTATTAATTCTTTAAGTTGGCGAGATACTCTGACGTGTTCGTGCTTTTTCGCAGTGACCGGCTAATGTTTGCATATCTGATAACCTCGGGCAACTATTTTTTCCCTCGTTTGCAATCAACTTCTTGCAGTCTATGACGTTCGATATTAAGAAATTCGAAATCGGAATCCCAAGACTGCCCTTCTTTTTTAAATCAAGATCAAAGTTGCGACCATTTTAAGCGTAAACGTATCACATGAACTTTATGCGATACACACGCATGCTTATCGACCAGATTGATTCGCGTCATACGCAACTCAAGCTATGCATAAGCATCGAAATCTGAAATTGCATGCACAAGTTGATCTGGAAAATATTCGAATACAAAACACTGCATTTTGGAAGAAATAATGCGGTTGAATGTCCCCATTGTGTGGGAGCATACGAGAGAAAATACGGGAAAAATACAATAACAAAAGTTAATCTTGAAAAGTTACCATATCTAATCGTATTTTATTTTTAAATTGGAACAATTGTTGTTACTGTTATTTTTTTCTGTAAATTTCTACGACACAAAGATATTCTGTTTTAAATATAATATTAATAAATATAATTTTACTAAATTTAACTGCGTATATCATATCTATTGCATTTAATTTATTTTTCGAAATAATTATAGCATTTTCTACAAGATTACTTTGTTATAAACATCATTACTGCTTGCTTTGCATTTCCGCGCACTTTTCGCGATTATCGCAGCGGAAATTTCATTGAGACAAATCAATCATGCGAAAAAGAGAGAGAAATTACGAAGCATTATTTCAAAAAAATTGTCGCGTGTCGATCGGAAGACAACAACGATATTTTTTTTCTTCTTATCATTCTTGTTTCCTGACATAACTGACGTCAACTCATTTCTAAGTTTATAACGGATCAAATGTCAAAGTGGATGATGAAAAGAAAGATAATACATTATCGTAATATATTGCATAAATTTAATAGATGAACACATCTGTCTTTGCTCATTGATTTATCATGATTGAACATCATGATACAATAACGTCACTAGCATTACATGCTTATCTCCAAAAACAGCATTCTTTGCATATCTTCGAATATTTTGCAATATTGTTTCTTCACCACAGAAACTTAATTTCTTGTAATTTTGCATATTTTTGGCTGTTTCAATTTTATTTCATTATTTTCTCTTATATTACTAATAATTTATATAACTCTATAAAATCAATTTTCAATTATTATATTGATTGGATATATGTTTGAAATATGTATTATCAATAATGTTCCATTAAAAAGTCTCTTATTGAAAAGTTATTTAGAAAGATTATCAAATGGAACTAGAATAGATATAGAAAATATTTTATTAATAATATTGCTACTAATGAAAAGTTAAAAGAATAAATCATTTCCATTATGATATTCATGTATTTTTTGTCTATTTAATAGATACAGAACAAATAGATTCTGAAAATAAAAAATATTTATACGATACAATAAAGGCTTATTAATCTTGGAAAAATACAATTCTTGATAAATCATTAAAAGATATACAATTTTTAAAACTGATTCTTTCAAATTTCTTTTATTTTATTTTGTTGATTTAACACTTTTTAGCATCCATGTTATCGTTATCTTATTGATCTTAATGCTACATTGAGTACTTCCTTTTTCGTGTTCATTAAAAAGAATTTGTAATATTAATATTAATTTAATATCGCGTGAAATTTTTAATTTTTTATCAAATAACTTGAATAAAACTTGTCTCTTTCTGCTTACAAATTTTATCAGTGTTAAATAAATCTATCACCAACGATCGAATGTTAATTAATCAGTGATTCACGAATGTCCTAGTGATCTTAATTAGCTTTGCTTCGAAAATTTACATGATCGTTATTATTATTTTTTTTTTTTTAGGAGAAATGACCAGCAATGTATTACGTCTGGCACGTGAAGCGCGACAACACCCGCTCGGACCGTTCAGTCCATCTTTCAATGTACAACACTTTCTGCTAGACAGCATGCAAAAGGTAAATAGAAAATATTATTAAAAATCTCCTTTTGTTAAAATATAATGTAAAATGGATATTTTAGTTTCTACCGGAGGACGCTCATATTCGTGTAAATGGCAAATTGCACATCTCTATGACAAGAGTATATGATGGGAAGAGTGTGATCGTGTCGCAATTCAATTCCAAGGAAGATTTAATGCAAGTAAGGCAATTTAGCTATTTGTATTGTCGTACTTTTGTAACAAGAGAGTTAAATTAGATAGATTGATAATAAGCTTATCGTACTTGTTAGATAAATTTAAAATAAAATATTATTTAATCAAAAATAATTTTTATTATTTAGAGAACATTTTATTATTTGATTGCAAATTGATCTTGTTTTTATATAAGTTATAATAATCTGTTCTTCCATATTTTTTATATTTATACTTAGAATTTTCACTATTTGTATTTAATATTTTCCACTATTTTGTATTTAATATTTTCTTTTTTTGTACAGGCTCTATTAGCTTCTTCGTTTATACCGTTCTTTTCCGGTTTGCTACCACCACGATTTCATGGCATCAGATACATGGACGGTGCTTTCAGCGATAATCTACCTACGCTCGACGAAAATACAATCACTGTTAGTCCATTTTGCGGAGAAAGTGATATCTGTCCCAGGGATATCTCATCTCAACTTTTTCACGTACGTACTCGTCGTTCACACTTATTAATAAGCGATATGTACAATTATTATCTTTTTCGATTATTTCGATAATTATAATTATTGTTCTTTTTGTATATTTTATAGGTCAATCTCGCAAATACAAGTATAGAGCTCTCTAAACAAAACATATACAGGTTCACGAAAATACTTTTTCCACCTAAAACAGAGGTAAAATAAAAATCTGTTTGATATTGCATAATTGCACAATTATCTTAAATGCAACAGATATAATTTTATTTTCTCTTGAATTTTTTTATAGATTCTTTCAAATATGTGTAAACAAGGATTCGATGATGCATTAAGATTTTTACATCGTAATAATATGTTGAGCTGTACGAGATGTCTCGCAGTACAATCAACGTACATAGTTCAAGAGACAATCGACGATAGCATGGAATATGACCCGGAATGTCTAGAGTGTAAGATGCATAGACAGGTAAAAAATTCATAATATGTATTAATTTTCAATCAATATTATTCATTCTACATCATTTATATCGAAATTTAAATTCAATTTCACCTGTATTAATCAATATGACTTAATCTTAAGTTTTTCTTTATTCTTTCGATATATTTTATTTTCATATTATTGCACATACTTATATATAATATGAATAAAAGAGACTATATTATTTTTAGGAAGCATTGGTAGCCAATTTGCCTGAGACCGTTATGACGATATTCCAAGATGCCATAGATTCCGCTAATAAGGGACTTGTTAATTGGCTGTTTAAACACCGTAGTGTGAAACTATTATCGTTGTTGAGTTTGCCTTGTACGCTACCGGTAGATATAATGTACGCCACCATCACAAAGTAAGCAGCTATTTAAATATATATGCATACATAAATACACCGCTTGATGAAACACATACATGAAATAATTTAGTTCCAAAGATGCGTGCTCGCACCCGTGTATGTGTATAATCTAATATTATATTAATTTTAGATTTAATGTTTTTGATTATTAGACAGAGATGTTACATGCCCTCTCGCTTACAAAGATGACAATAAATTAATAATTTTTATTTTTATAATAATTTAATTTTACTGTTATTAAGTTTACTGTTCTTTAAGAGTTTATTAAGCTTAAGTTTTACTATCTTTTATTTCACTGCATAAGTTACACATTACTGCATTATATATTGCATGTGGTATGCTCAATCAATTGCAATTTCACAAATTATAATTATTGTTTGTGATATTGTGTGTTTAACATCATGCATGTCATTGATAGTTTGATTGGTAACAAGATAGAAACTCGCACTTTGGAATACAAAGTAGTTGGAAATGTTCTACATATCCCACAACGAGCATTTACTCATTCTAAGCATTTAACACCCTCCCGGTAAGCATATAAAATTTTCAGGCTTTCTTTATCTTGCAATCTTTGCATACTATATCTATGGAATTTTCTTTATCATCAAAAGCATATGTTGCCTGAAATTTTATTTTTAATCATAGATATATTTTATCACATTGCTGATTATAAAATTTTATCTTTCATGAAAAAATATAAGTATTATAAAATACGAATTCTTAAATGATTTTCAATTTTACTTGAAAATTACAGAATATTTCTAAAGTAATAGATAAAAATTGAACAAAATATTAAGTGGGAATATTTTCACAGTCAGGCAGAAATTTACTTATATAATAATTAATTATAATATCTTCAAACAAATTGTTTTGTGTGTATAATTAACGGTAATGTATTTTTTCTATTTCAGATTCATTATAAATATTCCGAAGCTGAGAAACAACATAGTAGAGTTAATTAAATTTGTCTTAGAACAGTTGAGTATAATATTTCCAAAAATCAATGTCTATGTTCAGCCTCAATCAATCAAGTGTCATTTCAACATTATGGAATATGATTCGAGTAAGTATAGTTTGATTTTTTATATTATATATATATATATATATATATATATATATATATTATATATACATATATATATAATCTAAGAGAAAGAGAGAGTTTCAAAACTGATATAATATAATACATAATACAATATATGAGGTATACATAATATATAAAAGTTGATTAGCAAGTGAATTACTTTATTGTGCATTGTAAGTAATTATCAAACAATATTCTCAAATTTTTTAGGTATGTATGATGCACGAGATATAGAGGAGGTTGACACTCTATATAAAAAACACAAAAATCTGGATTTAACTGTTCAATACAACGAGCGGTAAGTAAGACAGATAATTGCATAGAGTTATTTTGATTATATTGATTATTTTGATTATTTTGATTATCACTATTAACGTATTATGCTTTAGGCCATCATGGACAGATTCGGGCAAATCGAGTTGTGTAATAAATATGGGTGATCTCACACGAACAATGGATGATACTTGCGAAAATATCTTGCAAGTATGTATTCTCTAATGAGAATATATTAAAATATATTTAAAATATATAATTTAAAAGATAAAGATATTAAATTTCATAAATCTCATTATATAGACAAGTACAGAACAAGATGCTGTAATAGCTTATTATTATATGGATGATAACAACAAAGTGCAAGTGACAGAGATCTTCGATGTAACTGATTCAGAATCGCATACTATACTTTCCATAGACGAAGTTGATACCAATAGAAGACTCCAATTTGACGACTGGACTGAATCTACATGGTTATCTCAACGTACATTTAATGATGGTAAATTATTTGATATTTTTTTCATAAAACATACGGTTTATGACCAATATTTTATAACATAAATTATCGAACGTAATTTAAATCGACCACACTGGCAATTTATTGGTTGGTAATGTATCACTCACAACGTTTCAATCATGGTTTTTGTCCTTATCAAGTGAACTACAAATTAATAATTAATAAATTGCCAGTGTGGTCGATTTAAATTACGTTACGTTCTTTTATTTTATCTATTGGTAACATTCAAGAATTTAACGTTATAAATTATCGAATAATTTTAATTATTAGCGTATTTTTTCAATCAAAATCTTATAAACACAATTTATTTCCTTTTCTAAAATTATTCGGATATTATTTAAAGATATAAAAATCCCTCAATTTGCACTCTCTTATTTATTATAATGGAATGCATGGATTAAAGTTGTAAATTTTTTTTTTACTTTTTCGCGTACGCTTTCTTAATCTATAATAATCTCATAAAAAATATAAATAATGCTAAAAAGCAATACAGGAGAAGATGCTAATTTTTAGAGGAAAATAGTTGATTTAGAATAAAGAAAATCCTTAAGTATATTAGAATAAATAAAAGTATGTTAGAATAAATAAAAATGGATTGTATAAACTTAGAAATTTATAATTTATGAACTTCTAAATATATATTTATTGCAATAATTACAGAGTCTCTTTATAATGAGAATCAACAAAATATAGAAAACTTATCGGATGCATCATTAGAAGATGATATATTAAATAGCACAAATATATTCTCCGATCCGGAAAGCGAGTGGGAAATGGAAAAAGAAGAAGTGGAAGCGCTTAAGTCTCCGGACAGTCGACCAGAAGTAGATCAACCATCTACGAGTTTGCTATAAAAATTATTCTCCAGTAGCTTATGTAATTGTTATCTTAGAAATATCAAATAATAATTAAAAATGTGTTTTTTTTTTATTATGATATACTTCAGAAGATATATGCCTCACTTAGCCAAAAAGAGCGGAGATATTTAAAGTACTATATCCGAATATTTTCCATATGCGTGAACATATGGAAAATAACGAAAATTGCTCAATTCAAAAAAGAGCATTATTTAATAAAAACATATATTCTTGTAAGATATATAATTGATAGAAAATGTTGATGCATATAAGTACCTAATGTAATATACGTATCAATAATGTTAATACATTTAAGTGTTAGTATGGCACACAACAGTATTCTAACATAATTCAAGTTTGTTACTTTAGATTTGAAAATTAATGATAAACAATTGTCCGTTTATAGATTTTACAAGAAAAAGACTGATTGGTGATTAAAGATAATATGATAAAATCATTTATATTTTTTTACTATTTTTCGAAGAAATTTAGAATTTATTTTCTTTGACAAAAAATAGAAACAATTGTAGAATTTTTGAATAACTAATAATTAAAGAAATAATTAATTTTTAGAGGTGAAATTAAAATCTAGAAAAAAATGATAAAATTATATTTTGAATATAATCAAATATTATTTTTATAATATAATTGAATTATATTTTGAATGAATTTGAAGATATTATGTTAAAAATTACGTAACGATCCTTATAAAAACTAATTATTTTTAATTATTTTTAATTCTAAAAAAGGATCATTTTCCTTCAGATTAATTGAAAAGATATTTGACGATACTTACATATTGTATAAAAAGATTACTTCTTAATGACTTTTTGGATCATGTTAAAGAGAAATAACAAATGTTTAAGAAATTTGAATTCAGAAATCAGGTTTTCGAGCTAGTTACTTTTCTCTAAACAAATTAGTCTTATTTACAATATAAGTTCCATGTATATTCAACCAACTATTAAATTTCAATGCTTGTTCGAACATATTTCTTAAGCAACATATTTAAATGTTATAATTTTTGTTTATTAAACGTTTTCGTATTTATTTTGATAAATACTATAGGACCCTTAAACATCGATAATAATTTTGTTTATCTTGTATAATTTGCGATATGTTTTTCATTGCAATTTTGTTATCATCTACAAAACTTTCAAAATATGCTCTATCTAGGTTGTGAAAAATATAAAATATTTTAGAATATTTAGAATAAATTTTTTATATTCTATCATGATTTTTTTAATAACATTAAATTATTATTAAATTTTTTATTTTATATTTTTCTTATAGCATTAATAATTTAAAATTAAATATTAGTAAGTATAAAACAATTTTATAACAATTTTATCCACTAAAATTTTATCTACTAAAATTTTCTCCAAAATATAAACCCTGATAGCAAGATGACGTCTAAAGACGTCTATGACGTCTTTAAGACGTCTTTAGACGTCTTTAGACGTCATCTTGTTACCAGGGTTTATATTTTGGAGAAAATTTTAGTATAAAATTGTTATAAAATTGTTTTATACTTACTAATATTTAATTTTAAATTATTATCTTGCCTGGGAAGTACATATTCCAAGTTAAAAATTATTTATAGTCTATCATAGAAAAAAAATTTTATAATTGCTTACAGCTGGTCTGAATGTTAAAGAATTAAACTTTTTGTTTAACTGTTGCTTTTTGTTACTTGTTACAGAGTATAATTTAATAACTTTAAGTATAATTTAATAACGGTTATATGTAACTTAGCTTTTAATTATGATATTTTATATCAATAATATTTTATACATAATATTAAGAATTTAAATATTAAGAATGTTTTGTGATTTATTATTTTAAAATGTTTCATTTTAATAATAGGCATATAATGGATAAAAAAAACTTGTCTCTTCTTTATGATAATTTCGTTGAAATAGAAAAAATCATAAGAAAAAGTATCATTGTAAAATATTTTTTATTGCATTGCTTTTTCTTTTCGAATAAGGTATTTTTCTAAAATAAAGTATTTTGTACGACAGTACTTTCATATTTTTTTTGAGACATGAAATCCTAAATAATACACAAATATATTTTATATCCATTATAGATTTAAAATATAATTTATTTTTTAATTTAATTATTTCACAAGATTTCTATTTATAGATGGAATTTGATTTGATCATAAACAGTGTCTTCCTACTTATTAATTTACAGAAAATTTAATTAAAGAAATATTGAAAGATGTCGGTTTTTTTTAAATATCTTTTTATAAGCTAATGTAAAATCTTATATCATTATTAATGATTTTCATAAATGCTATACATATGTAATGTCTTTTATCTATACATAGAATAAGCAAAATAAATACAAATACATCAAATTTACAATTAAATATAATTCTCTTATTATGTATAACTGTAAATATAAAAATATTAGAATGAAAATAAGTTGGAATTTAGAAATATCAAAATATGTTATTATGAAGGAGTGTATAAAGGAGAGACAAGAAATGTTTATCGAAATAGTTGTGATAATATCCTAACAACACACCAAAGTCCAAAAGATGTCCAAAGATCATCGAGAGGACATTTAGAGGACATAAAATATCCTTTGACTCTCTTCTAGATACTCCGTCTTTTGGACATGTATGTTGTTAAGATACTTTATAAGTATTAATGAAATATCTATGCTTTTGATATTTTTAAATGTTAGAAATTAGATTTTTACTTTGAAAAAATTAAAATATATTTATACATGTATGATTGATTATTAAACACAATGTGTTATATTAAAAAATATATATATCCCAGATAGCAAGATGACGTCTCCAGACGTCTTAATGACGTACAATGACGTCATTAAAAAAACGTTATTAAGATGTCATTTGACGTCACTCTGCTACCTGGGATATTAGTAATTATAAGTAACTGTTGTAATTTGTTTAATCTGTTGTGATACAATGTAAAAATAAAAAATGTTAAAAAATATTATATATTAACATATTATATATTAATATTAACATATTATTAATTCTATAATAAAATATAAAATTCTATAATATTACATATTTAACGCAAATGTTTTTATTATTGATGCGTTCGATATTTATAAGTAAAGTCTATACGTAAATCTATACACGCACACGAATGCAAATAACTCAAAGTGTACAGATACATATAAATGTTAAACACAACTGGCTAATAAGATGATCTGATGATAAAATTCGAAAAAAATGGAATAAATTTTAATATATTAAACGAAATTTGCATATGTATTTGCGCTATATATAATTAAGCAAAATAAAACGTCGATATTCTAATTAATATTTATAAGGTGAATTAAATGCAATTATGAAGATTAAAAAAAGTTGGAACACTTTTTACATTTTTAATGCATTATATAAAACAAATCGTTCGTATTTATAAGAATTTTACGCAAAATATTTAAGAAATCTCCCTGAAAAGTAATATATTAAAGTGAAAATTCAATTGACAGGAACAATCTTACCATATGTGAGCGAAGAATAGTATGATACTAATGTGAAATGTGAAGGATCGTTTATCTTTTTTTTTCAATCATTTCGCAATACTGCTCCCTCCCACGAAGAGCATCCGGAATTTTACTGTGAACTCCGAATGACTGTTGCTCTAGCACGTTGACAACACATGATCGATCGTAGCACGAGTATTTCTTCTTCGTATTTGTGTCAATGTATGTGCATATCGAGAGGAAAGAAAATCAGGAGGCGCTCTTCGAGAACGTGTTTTCCTCGCGTTTCAAAATACAGACACGAGGGAGAGATCTCGGTGATCCTTCGCGCGGTTCGTTTCCGCTTTGAACGTGCAACATAATCTGCGATTTTATTCTTCGTGAAATATACGAGAGGATCAAGAGGAAGAGAAGAACGGACGACGCGAGGGACAACATTGTTACGCGTTAATTAAGATAAAACAATATGAATCTGTCGTTCGCCGGATGTGGTTTCCTCGGCATCTATCATATCGGCGTGGCAATCGGTTTGAAAAAATATGCGCCGCATTTACCGTTGAATAAAATAAGCGGCGCGTCTGCAGGTGCTATAGCCGCGTGTTGCTTACTTTGCAATATGCCTCTCGGTGAGTGTCTGCTTTTTGACAGTGTTAGAAAAGTCGCGAATTTCCCGATAAAGTTAATTAAATCAAATGTATTTATATTTTGATATCGACTACGCTCGGAAAGATGTTTGAAGAAATATTTCGAAGTGTGATTGGCTGGATATCATTCGATTACTAATCAGAAAAAATGTAAAAATTTGTTTATTCTGATTAATTAATGCAATGTTTCGAAACATCTCTAGCATTGCTCCCTGACTGCAGCTGCATATATCTCCGTTATAATATACTTTTAGCGACAAGTAAAATCACTTATTAGGTCTTTGACCGATTTATCTTCAGTAAATCAGTTTTGATAAAATTATTGTTACACAAATTTCTCAAGTCATTGATACGCTTGGCTTATACCGATAACATCTTTTTATATCACATAACATCATACATACAGTACATAATCATTTTTACACACTGTTATCTTAAAAAGAAGAAAGAAAATTATATTTATGGTCATTTGTTGATATACTATGATGAATGGATTTGCATTTATTTGTGAATTTACGCGTTTATTTTCGTATAAAATGTCTATTTTAAAACGAAATGTAATCGTGTGCCAAAGTATATAAAAATGATTAATATCACGCGCGATTTATGTCTATATAAAATAAATTATTTAATTTTTTTTATTTTTCTTGACAAGTTTCTCAATAACTAAATATATAGAAGTGTAGATAAAACTTTGTTTCTTCTTTTATATTTTACTATAAAATTTTTATTTAAAATATATATGTATATATATATTTTAAATAAAAATTATATATATATATATTTCAATGAGGAAAACTTGAAGTTCAATAAATAAGCTTTGGATTTATGATTTTCTTCTTTTTCAATTTTAACAAAAATTATGAATATATTTCGGATGTTGAATTAAATATGCAACATGTATATTTAAATGTTTAGTCAAAACGCGTTTTACAAATAGACATTGCAACTATATAAAATCGGTATCATAAATTATACATATATGAATATATTATATAATATATTTCAATAATACAATAATAATTTTGTATATGTAATTTTGTAAAAAGATTTTTTATTTAATTTGCTTTATATTTTTAATTAATGTGAATAATTTTTATTTAAAGACATATAAATAATTCACAATTAAATATCAATTAGCGATGCATCAATGACTCGTGAATATCCTGACAATCTCAATTCCATTTTGAATGCACACGTGATTGCTTTCTTTTTTCACATTTCAGAAGAAACTGTAAATGCAGTATTATTCATAGCACAGGCAGCGCGACAATACATACTTGGATCGTTCAGTCCATATTTCCATGTGCAACACGTACTGTTGGGAAGGTTACAGAAAGTAATAGAATAACACAAGAAATAACTGTTTCTCTATATATACGTCCTGTTTGTTTATTTTAATCCAACATTTCTGTATTCAATAACATACGCAAAACAGAATTTTCGAATAAGAATTTTGTAAAAAACTTAATAAACTTTTCTAGATTCGCCTATTATTAATAGATGAATCTTGATAATTTTACTATTTGTTGTTTAAAAGAAGCAAATAATATTCGAAAGAAGGACGAAATTTCCAACAAATTAAAAGATTTAAATTAATAACGGATATAAGTTCGAATATATATATATTTCTAGATCATTTTTATTATATCGATAAAATACTATTTAAGATTATTAAAAACTTTCACTACAACAATGCAAAATGAATACGATTCTCGTTCTCTAGATTTTACCGGATGACGCTCACATCCGCGTGAATGGCAAACTGCATATCTCTTTGACTAGAGTATATGATAGGAAGAATGTGATCATCTCGCAATTCGATTCAAAAGAAGACTTGCTACAAGTAAGAAAATTTAACTTTATATCTATAATTATATATTATAATTTACTCTATATAATTAAAATTGATAGATTGATATAATAAAAAAATTTATCATATTAAAATTAAATATAACAAGAATGAAAAATAATTCTTATTATTTGGAAGAAATGTTCCCAGACAGCACACATGTCCAAAAGACATCTAAAAGACTTCTTAAAGACGTCTTAAAGTCCTTTAGACGTCTTTAAGACGTCTTTTGGCCTTTTTGTGCTGTATGGGTTATCATTCGATTTTTTTATACAAGTTGTCTTTTTTTTCAAAGAGGTTGTTTATATCAAAAATTTTTGCATTATAAACTTTTACAAATATAAATTTTATATATTTTAATATTTTTTATCAAGGCTCTATTAGCCACTTCGTTTGTGCCATTGTATTCCGGTTTACTGCCACCTCGATTGCACGGCATTAGATACATGGACGGTGGTTTCAGCGACAATCTTCCTATATTCGATGAAGATACTATTACTGTGTGTCCATTTTGCGGAGAGAGTGACATTTGCCCTAGAGACACTTCACATCAGCTATTTTATGTATGTGCTTGTTTTTCGCGTGTATAAAATAGCGTATTTCAGCTAAACAAGTTCAAAAAATTAATATATGATGCAATTAAATTAATGATTATGCGCCTGTTGAATTAATCCAAATATTGAATTTTAATTATCGCTCGCCTATATATATTAGTAAATCTGTATTTTGCAGCTCAATGTCTCTAACACGAGCGTAGAACTTTCTAAGCAAAATTTGTATAGATTTGTACGGGTATTCTATCCACCCGAAATAGAGGTAAAACAAAAAAATTTAGTTATATCCTTTATTTATATGATATAAAAATATTGATACTATATTGGAAATATACAAGATATAATTAAAATTTTTTTTTAATTGCAGATTCTCTCGAATATATGTAAGCAAGGATGTAACGATGCACTAAAATTTTTACATCATAGAAATTTATTAAAATAAACTGATATTCATATGTAATGTAGATAAACTGATATTCATATGTAACGTAGATATAAAGGTATTCAATTACGTTGTGATAATAAAGTACGAAATAATAATTATAAAGTACTTGAAATAATAAGAATAAGTGAGATTCGTAATATTTTGGATATTTTATGTATAGAAAAAGAAGATAAATTTAAATACATTAAACGAAATTTATATATAATTAAATAAAAAATTATATACATAATTAAATCAAATAAAATATCAATATGTCAATATGACTCTTATCAAATGATATCATTCTTGTCCTTTACTTTGAGATAAAATAAGAACACGATAATTAATTGAAAAATTTTAATTATGGTATGAAAAGGGATAAAGATCAATAAAAAACTGAGATATTTATTACATTTTTAATATAAAACGAATCATATCGTATGTATAAGTCATATGTACAATAATTGAAACCTTCCTAAAGTAACGTTTAAGGCGGGATTGACAGAAACAATTTTATTGCACATTGGCGTAATAGCATTACGATATTAATCTGGTAAAATATTTATATATTTATTCTCTCTGTTGGCAAACGCAAATCGTTCGCGAGTAAAATCTCTTTCTAATAAAAGTGGACATAATTCAAGAGAGATAAAATTCATCATACATTTTCGTACGCGAATATTCATAATCTCAAATTCGATCTTAATATAAATGCCTAATTACATTTCTTCTAGGCGGGCTCCAATTATTTCGACGTAACATGATCATAAAATTATCATTTATTTGAACATGTTCAGGCGGGATCTTCCCCAGGGGCAGACGTGGAATTTCTCTGAGCTTCAATTTGAGTTCTATTTTGAGAATTTCCCGCCGCGACGGCAACTTTATGCTGTTGTGCAGCCAGGCATTGTTGTAATTGCTGAAGCTATAAAATCAGAATAAATGTTCCTTACCTTTTGTGCAGTGATATAGCTGAACCTTTAAGTAAATATAAATATGCTTATGGAAATGTTCATTAAATTAATTCTAAATATTGTTCTATATAAATTTTTATGGACTATTATTTTTATAGTTTATCTATTGTTATAAATTAATATACGTAATATTTCATCTTTCTCTTTCTTTCTCCTTTCTCTAATAAAAGTATTATTTTATTTTAAAAGAGATCTATTCAGAGCCAATCTCTTAATATATAATTCGTACATACTTGTTGTTGCGATAGAGTAGTCACTCCGAGACTTTGCGTTTGCTGGCTGCATTGACCAGTTGAAGCCCTGGCATGCAAGGATTTTGTCAATAGAGTTTGTTTATTAACAGGTACTACTTGGGAAGAAGGCGTCGTCTGTGACGCCATAAGCACAGGTTTCGTCGCGGCTGCATATATGTACAAAATTTATACATAAATATCATAAGTGTATGAAATATTATGGAAAAAAAGCTTTGATCGTAATCCGCTTCCATAAAAATTCGAAATTGCAGACTTACCCATTATGGGAGTTAATACTTGTTTGCTACCAGACAATATCAACTGACTCGCCGTTACTGTTTTGGCAACTGTCATCAGCTGATTCGATAAGACAGCTGATTTAACTTGATTCGATTGTACTTGACGAGTCATATGATTAAATCGCGGCCTTTGAGATCCAATGAGCTGGATTGCTTGTCCTCCCTAATGATATATAACATTAATTATTATAAAATATTTGGAACACATTTCTTGGTAGTTGCACACAATATTGGACTAGATATATATTTATAAAATGTAATACAAAGATTGTTTATTTTTTATAATTATAGTTTTGTACTTTGTAATGTGTGCACTCTGTTATTGTAATAACATAATGTATAACGTAATGTGTATAAAAAATTGTGCAATTTTTTAAGTATTTATAATTAAAGTAATATGTATAAAAAATGTAGTTTTTTAATTGTTAGATTAATACCTGTGCGAGAGTTACTGCATTATTACTCCTTATATTTTGCTGCAACAATCCTTTTACAGATGGTATTATTTGGGCTGAAATGCATATGATCAATGAAATATTAAATATCATATATAAATGTTAGATATTGTATTTATATAACAAGATAAATATGTAAATCTTGAAGGCATCTATACTTTCAAGGCATGCATCTTATATAGACATAAAGAATCTTAAATTTTTTAAATAGGTTTTATAATTTAAAATTTTCTTACAAATGTGTCAAATTTTTCTACATCATATTACAAAATAATGAAAATTAGTTTATAAAAAATTTTTTGTAATTATAAAATTATAGAAAGTTTTGTAAGAAAACAATTATCATTTTTTAAAAACATAAATATTTAGCACAAAAAGAATGAGGATAAGGAATAAGTTCAAGCAGCGATATATATATATATAAAATATATTACCAATTGGTAAAGACAAATGAGCTGGATTGGCAGGATTTGCGATCACTACTGTTGGTGTACTCCCAGCAATAGCTGTCGTAACGACAGTTGCAGCCATCATCTGAAATAATATATAACGTTTCAACAATATTTATAAATTATTTACATTACTATATATTATTATCAATCATCTATATTTTGCATATCTCGTAATAATTTTTCCAGTTCAATAAACATATACAATCAATAGCTATCTAGTTAGCATGTGTTAAAATATTTCATACTGAAAGAGAACTTATATTCTCTACACATATACGCATAAACAAATATTCTATTCATCATTGTTAATTCATAAATCTATTTTGCAATGAATAAAAGAATTATCTATATAAAGAGATCGATACTAACGCTCGAGACTGTCGTGCAGGTATTTGTAGCGGACGATATAGGCAGAGAGACGATGACGGGTGTGCCTGCAGAGCTTGGAGACATCGTAAATGACATCGTAATGGGTTGCGACAAACCCGAAAACGATACCTATCGCAAAACCGATAGACATAGTATATTTCAATCATAAACAATTTGTATATAATAATTTAACAGTCGTCTTAAACAACCTGAACGTTTTGCAGGCCATTAATAGAATTCGGCAGACTAGTGAGGTTTACGCCTTGTAGATTTACGTTAGTCGGCGACGGACTTGTCATTGGACTCGCTGGTTGACTACTCTGACTGGAAGAAGCAGTGAGCCGTTCGAGCAGTGACGAAGTCGAATTCATCCCGGGTATAGGATTGTCTGCCGATGGCGTGCCTATTCGAATGAATCATGTATACATTAACGATTAAAAGAAATTCATTTAAAGTGTAGTCTAATTTATACTTAATATTCCAAATTTTGTGAATTGAAGTTTTAACATTGTATATAAATCAATGTAATCAAATATATACAAGTTTTTTAATTTATAACAAATTAATTTTTAGAAAAAAACTATTGCACTTCTTATTGTTATAAAACATCTTTTATAATCTATAGATATTGTTTACTATACCAGCAAGCATAGCCGAAAGTCCTGGCATTGATAAACCAAGGGTAGACGTGGGATCCTGCACTCGTGCGAGTCTTACAGTGGTTGTTTTTAATGGTTGTTGTTTACATCCTAGCTGTCCAGTCAAAGCAGAATTTAAACTCACACGTACCTAAAATATTGTTCAGATATAAGCGGTCATTTAAATATACATTTTATATCATATAAACTATCAAATAATTAACTAATATAAAAAAAGATTAAATATGTAAAATGATTATTAATTACATATGTTTGATTGATATATCACAATAAACATATCCACTTCAATTATGTGTATGTGTAGACGCATATAAGATATAAATAGAATATAAATAGCAAGATGATAAATTATTATTAATAAATTATATTACTAAACATACTTGACCCGTAGTGCTAGGTACATTGATCACGTTGCCATGACTAAAAACTCTGGATGGGATGGAAGCATTGAGAGAAATCTTTCGGGGTTGAACTTTCTGTTGAGCCAAATTCACAGGAGTGCTATTTAATAAACTACGAATCGCGGGATTGCTTGACTTGTTTGAAGCTTGCGCATTGTTGTTCATAGCTGCGGCTGCAGCATTGGCTGCAAGATATGCAAAATGCAATATCAAATTATGAATCCGCACAAGTATCGTGGATAAAATATATGAAGAAAAAACGTGAAAGTAATTTCTGATTGAAATGTGATAGTAACTACCTGCGACTTGTTGTTGGTACTGATGCGCGGAATTCATGAGGGAAGTAGCAAGAGCATTTATTGCCGGATTAGTAGAATGCTTCTTAAACGGCGGCTCATTTTGATTCTGATTGGCAGTTTCACCTATACAATTCTGTGTTCCTGCTTGCAATTGCGCTTGCTGTAAATTTTAAATAAAAAATTTAACAAGATATATGAAAAATTATAAAATTAAGTAAAAAAAAATATTCTCATTAATCCTCCTAAGTTTAATGTAACATTGTGCATTATTGCATATTTATCTATTTTATATACTATGGATTTAAATTCAATCTCTGTGTATCGAGAAATACAGAAAAACAAATAAAAACTCACCAAAACTGGAACATTAGTAGATGTCGCGTTATTAATAGTACCACTCGACTTCTGTTGAAAGACCAGAATACCAGAACCATTACAAGTATTATCCGCTATTGCCATTGCGGGATTATCAACTTGTACAGAAGTCGACGCATTGAGGCTACCATTGGCTAAAGACTGTCCTGAGCTCAATACGGTAGCGTCATTCTGCGGAATAACTTGTGGCATATTTGCCGAATCCACACACGATAGATTATTTTGTACAGAGCTGGTGGCTTCTGTCATAGCCTTCATCGAGGCTACTTGACCAGTCAAATTTAATTGCCCTTGAGCCCGTGACAAAATCTGCGTGCGGATTTGCTGGAAATTTTTACATGATTGTAAGACAAAACATTGCTCAATTATTAATAAGAGTTTACGATATATACGTTTATATATTTTTCTATTTTTATATTATCAAGAGAAATATTTAAATAAATTTTATTTTGTTTATCATTCATACCTGTTGTGCTATTTGTTGCGATTGAATTTGTTGCAATTGTCGAGCCGTTAATTTCGCATGTTGCAACTGAAAAAAAATTAAGAAGAAAAGAACATTTAAAATAAAATAATTGATTAGAAACTATTAAAAAATATGATATATACCTGCTGATGTGCTCGCTGCATTCCGCTAGGTGCAATACGAGTTTGTCCTGTTATAATATGTCTTATTCTCACATTCTTCCTACCCTCCTCTGTGAATATTTCTTTAAACTGCTGATAATAATGATTAGCCACAGCTCTGGTACCTAATGTAAACCTAGAAAATAAATTCAACATTATTGACAAATGATTGTATTTTTTGAGCAAAAAATTATCTAAATAGAAATTTATATATATATATATATATATATATATATATATATATATATATCACTGATATCTGAATAGATAAATGAAGCCTTTTGAGAAGAATAACTGATAAATACAATAAGGGAGTAGTGCATGAACTTCGGTCAATGTTCGATCATATTCGGCACAATTTAACATGGCGATTCTATTGATATCACCGATTCTCAACCAGATCTTCAGATCACAGAAATGTTTAAAGAATTTATTTAGAAAAAATTTCTAACACACAAATAATTTTATATATATTTTAAATAGCATTTATATTATTATTATTATTTTACTTATATTTATATTTATTTATATTTTTTAAATTTAATTTTATTTCTTATAATAATTTCTTATAAAGTTATATATAAAGTAATATATGTATAAATAAATATAAAAATAATATGACATTATTCATAACATAATTTTACACAACACATGCGAGCTGAACTTTGATGTCAATGAAATCGAATCATTAATTGATTATTATTGGTTATTCCCGATAATGATTGGGGATAACCGATTTCAATCGAAGTTCATGGAGTGTCTCCTTATCGCGAATATCTCCTCGTCTTAATCGGTAGTTAATGCTCCGCCTATCTATTTAGATGTCAATGCTACATACCGACAAGAAGAACCATTTTTCTTTCCCTCATCGCCCTCATGATTTTTATCCATATAAAGTTCTCCAAGGTACTCGGAAGTAGCGGGTCTTTGAAGAATCGAGAGCTTTATATAATCTTTAGTTTCCGCAGGTTCTAATATATATTCTTCTATAACTTGTGGCGTGCAGTCTATCGTATCTTGTGGCCGTTCGTATGCTTTTGCATATCTAATCAAATGTCATTGCTAATTAATTTCGCTGATATTTTACAGTAAAAAATGTAAAGAAAAAAAGTGAAAAAAAAAAGCGTTATAAATAATGCAAAAGAAAAGATATGTATTGTCATACGAACCTTAAAACTTCGATTGCTGAAGATGGTGGAAGCAGAGGAGGGCTTGTGAGAAAAGGCGGTGGGCAGGCAGTGTTTGTCGCTAATCCTCTTCTTTTTGCACGGAATTTCTGCATTAAGTCCTGTATTGTTTGTCCTTCTGGCTGAGCCAATTGTTCCAATTTTCTTTTTCGATTGACTGTGACCTAAAATAAAGCAATACAATGTTTATTGCTGCAAATTAGATATGGCACATATGGTAAACAGTGTATATAAATAATATATTCCTTCATATGTTATTTAAATATTATTCCATTTAATATATTCCATAGTTATTTTTTGTATTTGAACAAATTTCTCTTTTTAATTACATGTTAATTTCTTAAATATTAATTTATATTAAACTGTAGATAAATTTTAAACTAAAATATTACCTGAGAAAACTTTTTGGCTTGTCGCATGAGTTGATGATCAGTAAGTAATGATTTAGACTGTTTAATTCTTGTACTAGCTAAGGTGGGAATAGGATTTGGATCTAAGCACAGAGGTCCTTGGGTAGCTGCCACTAAATGTGATTCCAACATTAACCGCTCCTCATGACTCCAATCTCCGTCATTCGTAAGCGTCGATACATCCGAAAGTACACTCTGCATATATAAACAAAAATTTTCCAAATTTAATTTAAATTATGTTCAATAAGTAATTTCAATTTATATATTATAGAATAAATTACATTGCACACAATAGTAATATATTATTTTTATTTTTACAATTATAGGAATCATTCTTATATTGTGTTATTCTTTATCTATAATATTCAAGCCAATATAAACCTTTACTTCAACTCAAGTGTGAATAAACATTATTGAAAATGATAGATTGTAAGTATTATATTATAAAAACACTAGTGTTTCTCAACTCTTAAGTATCTAGTTTTTCTAAGGAAATACGTGTATAATCCAAGAATTTTTTATCTAATAAAATATTATTCTTTATTGGTTATATTTAATGATCAAATTTTACCTGCGTCGTAGGTTTAAGAAGTACATGATGAACTTCGGCTCTGTTGTGAGAATATGACTTTCGATAATCTCGGACTTCAGCAATTATGCAGCCATCATAAAATAAATGTGAATAATTGGATTCTAGTTGTTCGGCTAACATAGCCGGCAGTTGGCCATTATCTATGCACGAAAGTAGTTCACCCTGTTCGTAACCCATGAGTTGAGTCTCAGCTAGTAATGAATTTTTATCATACTGATTCCCTTTATCACTATATTGAGAAAGAAAAAATCTATATATTAATAATCAATTCTATATAAAAATTTAAGGATTTAATTTTCATTTTAATAGAGTAATTACATATAAAATGCATTTATTTGATATAAATATTAAATGTTATCTTAAATAATCTTAAACTTGGCCCAATTAAAATTCTTAACATATTACAATTAGCACTAACAATAAATTAAAATAATTTTGTAACGTAGAACCGGCAATCATACAATAACATTTAAAAAAAAGCTAGAAACCCAAAGTTTAAATATAATTATGGTTTATAAACTATAGTTTTTAAATGTAGTTAATCATAAAAAAATCTTAAAACTTTTTTTCATAATTTATACATTGTGGTATAATATTATCACCACTGACTGAAAAAGAATATTAAACTATTATAACTGTTCGGCATTTCTCAGATTGTTGATGTTTTTAGAAAGATAATTAACATTAGAAAATACTTACCTATTTCTTACAGCTAATGAGTATCCTTTATTACCAGCATAGAGATTAACAATTAATGTATGTAAACCTTCTCGTTGCACTAACCGCCCCAAAAGATCACACTCATTCTCAAGATTATTCTGTATAACATTTAAAATACAACATTTTATGTATAAAAATATAAGCACAATATCATATTTATGATATTATATTAAGAATTAAGAATTTAATAAAAGAAATGTGTAAAAAGTGAATATACCAAAACTGAATCTGGAGTTGCATGAGGAACCTTGGAGAGTTCTTCAAAATAAAGTCTGGTGAGTTTGGATTGGATACTATGCCTGGAGTGATTCTGTTCTTTTTTTTGAGAGGGCAATGATTTATTTGATATTAAGGCCAAAGAATCCGAACCTAGTGCATTCTTCCAACATCTGGACACTTGATTAACCATATCCTGTAAATAGTGCGATGAACAATGAATCATTAAATGAATGTAAATAATGTAGAATGATAATTTCATAGCAATGGCTATATATCGATGGATTACAATTCAAAAACTTTATTACATACCTGAGCCCGCTGACACGCATCTTCCAAACTACAGGCTGCACCAATCATTGTAATTTCTGACTACTGGTGCCACTTAATGTCATATCTGAGGCGGTAATAATCGTTCATATTCTGAAATATATCCCACTAGATATATTATTTATTCACACAAATTAATTGGTGTTGAAGATAACATTAATTATGGATAACATTACAAATTCTAATCATGAAGATGAATTATGAGAAAAACAAATGATATTTGCCTCAATAATTCACACACATACATACATACATACATACATACATACATACAGACATATACATTTATATATTAAATATATAAATAATAGAAAAACTTTTAATTTGTTAATAATCAGTGTTTTAAGACAAAAGATTGATTACAAATAATCTTAGTAGCAAATTTTTCTTTAAACTTCTAATATTTGATTTTCAAATAATAACTATTAACTTGATTATTTTAATATTAATCTTTTTAAAAAAATAAAATTGCACAATTATACTTTATTGCACAATTGTATTTTATTTTTAATTGAAAGATATATGTATCTACTTTAATATATAAATGTTTCATTTTTCAGGCAATATAAAATCAGCTCTGTTGCGTATCTTCTCTTTCTCCTTCTCTCTCTTTCTCTCTTTTTATATTTGTCTCTATACTTTTTACATTTAAAATAAGATATTTTTTTAAAGAAAGAATAGGAAAAGTGAAATGTAAAATATAATACTATACAGATCTATTACTTTAAATATAAAATATGTACATCTCTTCTTAATCATTTATATCAAATAAATTCTTTATATTTAAAATGAGATATTTTTTTCACAGAAAGAAGAGGAAAAAATGATATATTAGAATATAAAATAATAATAGAATATAAAATATAAAACTATACAGAGCTATAACTTTAAATATAAAAATGTGTATATCTTGTATACAATATCAAATATTTTTCATTTATAAATAACATTTTGGAGCTACTATAAATTTATAATGTATAAATTAGATTAAACTTGCATATGTATGCTTCAAATTGTTGATATGTGCACACATAGCATGTCATATAATAAACATGTTTCTTGCAATATTAAAACCAAATTAAATCAACAAGCTTCCCTCATACATTGCAACTTAAGGTATGAATGATAAAAATAATAGCAAGAGTCGAGAGAAAAACTGAGTGTAGGTCTCTTCATCATCAGAGAATCACAAAACAAATCCACATGTTTCTGCAAGTCAAGTCAACTTACCAACACAGTGCCCACTACGCAATGGCTCTTAAACAACACACAACACACACACACATGCTGGATGTTACATCAACAAATTTCTCTACAAACACCATAGGAACGTCAAAGAGCCACGGGAGAGAAAAGTTCGAAGCCAATTTCCCGCATCTTCGAGGGACAGGACAACTAATAACAACTATCGACAACTCACGCAATTCCACTATCAACACACATTTAAAATGCCATCGTGACATCCATAGAATCCATTTTCGTGCGGGTTTTCGCAAAACTCGAGGAGTCGCGCCGTGCTCGCCGAGATTAACGATACACCTATGTCATCTCCGCGACTGACGCGAGGGATATGCATAACATTGGAGCAGAAGGCGATAAACACAAGCGGGACCGCGAGCGCGAGCGCGGAGAACTATCGCGGGGGATAAGAGAACACGACGGAGCGTCGAGAGTAGAGGGAGGGGAGGGGAGGGGGAGGGGGGAGGAGAGCGCGACGTGGGTTCTCGGTAACGTGCCGCGGCGGACGAAAACAACAAGCTGCGGGAGGCGCGATCGGGCGCGAGAGCGAACGGGGAAGAGGAGAGGTTAGGGTCTTGTCAGCTCGCGGGAGCGTGCGGTGGCGGTGGTGGCGACGGCGTCGCGGCGCGTCGCGGTGCGTCGAAAACGCACGCACGCACGCGGCGCGACGCCGTCGCCGCGACCGGGCCCGCGATTTACCTTTGCTGCGCCGAGGAGAAGAGGGTGCGACAATAAACATCGGCCACGCACGACGGCCACACACGCACGACTTGCGGATCACGATTGACGGATCTCGGCTCGCACAGACTCGCACGTCATAACCTCACCACACCACTCGCACACGAGATCGGTCGGCGCGTCGAGTGAGCTTCGACGGAGACGTCGCAGAGTCCGCTCGTCCCCTGGTCTCGACGCGGCGGGAGACGGCTACGAGAGCGGGCGACCCGACCGTTCGCTGCACATTGCGGCACGAGTGATATTTACAAGCGACAAATGTCACTTCGCGCAGCGTAACCTATTATACAAACACCGCACACGATCGCAGACTGGGAGAACCCAACCTATCCGCTGCTCGATTGCTATAGTCTGGACGACGTAGGGGTGCGTTAGGAAATCCTACACGTGGGATAGAGTAGTGTGGAATTGGTCAATCGAAGGACGAGAGGAGTAAGTATTTCTTCGTTTTGATTGGCCGATCCGTGGGTACTTTATCCTACGGGTAGAATTTTCGAACGCATCCCAAATTTGTATTTGCAAGCCACCCCCGCATGGATGTTGGCACCCACTGCCATCGCATGTGCGAACGAGTTCGTTGGTTCAAGTTCTTTGGTATTGTGTCCAAATATTCATGTGACAATTAAAAGATATAAAAGTAATATGAAAATTGATCTTTTTTATTATCTTGTTCGTCCTGCAGGATGAAGGAACATTTTCAAGACCTCAGACATTTTTTATTCGATAGCCAATTGTATGTACACGATTGCTTTTGACAGGTTCGTACTCGTAAGATGTTTTTCCGAAGATTCTCGTATAAATTTTTTACTTTTTTAATTATATCTTGTACATAATATGCACGATACGTTAAATATTAGAAGAAATATATATATAAATATATAGGAGAGCACATATACAGTTATAACTAATATTAAATATACGGGAAAAGAATTTAATTTTATAAAGAGATTGAAACAACGAATCAATTTATTGCAACAAATATTATTGATATTGATATAATAATTTATTGACACGACAGAAATAATAAATTTGACAATTATCATTTATTTCTCTTAACATTACCTATTTCTTGTTTGTTTGTTTAATATATAATACCTCTTATCGCGATAAAGTATGTACGTGTGTGCATGTGAAAAATAACGGTGTCTGCGACTAATACTACTGTATATGCGCGGGATACACCTTTCAATTTTCATGTTTTGATTTGTTCCTTCATCCGATAGTTTCAATGACACGTGTTTTTTTTTCAGAGCTAATAAATATGATATAAAGAGACGGACAATGATTTGAAAAATCGGGAGGAAATGTGCACGATTTCTGATTTCATGCTATTCTTGATTATACGTACACTAAATAAACGAGTGAGCGATTTGAACATCAATTTTGCAATTTCATTCAACAATGATATTGACAAATTGTTCGGTGTTTATAATTAGGTGACGTGTTATACGGGAGAACTTTCTTCCAGTTTCTAATGTTCCAGTTTTGACTTGAAGACAAATTGCACGTCTGATCGCTATTGGTATGTAAGTTTATTTTTTTGTTTATTGTTGAATGCGATTAAACGCGTTATTGTATTTGATTCTTCATTTTGTGTGCCACAGAGATAGAAGATATATTAAGAAAAACGTGCGAAGAAATCTCCGTTCATCATGAGCGAATCTGATGATTCTGATATTCAGGCTGATATTGAAGCTCTGACCGCAGTTTTGTCCTTGCCTACAACTAGCAATTCGCAACAACAGTTTATTTCTAATGATTCGCGATCTAGCAGTCCCTCGATTAATTTTGAGGAAAGTGACGATGAAGATTTTAAGTATATCTATAAGAAGGAGGACGAGAAGTCGCTAAACGCCTACGAGATAAATGAAAAATTGATCACAGGCCTGATGATGGTTAAGAAAAACTTGATCACTTTGCTACAAGAGTGTGAGAGGAAGGTAAAGGAATTGGATGAAAAGATGATTTCCCGTGACAGATCAAATTTATGTACTGTTGATAGAATTTCAGTCAATCATGTTGGCATGCCATATTTTAAGGATAAGAATCACTTTAAAGCACCCAAGAATTATGACACGAAAGTAAAGGAATCTCGCGGTGAGTTGTTCCTGGCATCTCTTAGAAAGCCGAGTCGTTGGACAGAAAGAGACAGAGAAAAACTTATAAAAGCTATACACAATGAAGCTATTGAATCTGTATTGTCTTCAAAATTTAACAATGAAATTGATAAATCTTGTAAAGAAACATCAAGCAATCAAGCTGAAAAGATTGTATTGCCTAGAAATTTTAAGGAAATGGTAGGAACGGTCGGTGAGAAAGAGTTTGATTGGCACAAAATTTCCAGTGAGGATTTCGACGATAAGCATTCACCACGCGAATGCGAAGTCATGTGGAATGTATATTTGCATCCGGATTTTAACAAGAGCGAGTGGACAAGTGCAGAAGATAATAAATTATTGCAATATGCCAAAAAATGTAAATATCAGGATTGGGATACCATTACACTCTTGTTAGGAACAAATCGTAGCGCTTATCAAAGTTTCATCAGATATAATACCATTAAGAAGATACCGTTCTCGGGATGTGCTTGGACTACCGAAGAAGATAAATTCCTCGCGAATATTATAAACCACCTCAAGATCGGAGATTATATTCCTTGGGCCGAAGTTGCTAATCATATGCGGCATAGAACTAAGCAGCAGATTTACACCCGATGGATGTACAGGAAAGCACCGCATTTGAAGAAAGGCAGATGGAATTATTTGGAAACAAAAACTCTCCTGAACGCGGTAGAAAAATACGGCACGGATTTCCCTAAGATCTCAAACATTGTGATGCCTCATCGATCTTCTATTCAACTCAGCGCACGCTACCAGACGATAATAGAAAATATGAATGATAACATGTGGACAATCGACGATGACGAAAAATTGCTTCGTTTGCACAAAAATTATAATAACGATTGGTCCAAGATAGCTACATATTTTTCCAAGAAATCAAGAACACAAGTGAGACATCGATTTAACGCAATAGTAAAATACATGAGCAAAAATATTTCTTTTGACGATATACCTAGGCCATCTTTATCTAAACAGATTTCAAAATATAAGCTTAAAAAACATAAGATTATACATATGGATGATATTCAACTAAGACTATATGAAATTCTTAGTTTACCTCCTTTAGAAACTATTAACTCTCAAAAATCTTATGATTCAAATCAGCTCGCTTATGATACTAGAAGATTGTACAATACATTGAACCAATTAAATGCCAATCTTGATTTTTCAAATGGTTTTCAGAATCACGCGCCTCTGAATAAACAAGAGAAACAACTTTTGGTTTCTTTGAAAGAATACATAAATATAAGAAATAATGGAATACAAAATCATGAGCAAATAGAAAAATTCAGAATGCAAATGTTTGGTTGTATTGAAAAAGTTAACGAAAATTCTTTTATACCACCATTACCATTTGATGGATATATAAGGACAAAGAAGATAAAGAGTAAAAATCAATCTATAGATTGTGAATTGATAAATGATAATGAAAAATTTCTTATCGATGTACCTACAGAATTCTCTGTAAATCCTTATATACATGCTTTTATTAGTATTGAGGAAGAAATTCAATTTCACAAATTTAGTGAATTGTTAATAAGTGATTATTATGAATGTGATGAACAACATATGAATGTATATAAATTATTAGAGTGCAATCTCTCTTTTGATAAAATAAACACTACACCAGAATACCATGTTACGGATATTATGAATGATTTGGAATTAACAAATTGTAATAAAAAAAAATGCTTGAATAAATTGCAAACACCTATAAATATTGAATATATTAATGATGAAGATAATGAAGAAAAGCTATTCAGTGGTATAATTATGCCGAACCGACCAACTTTATTAGGTCTCAAGAATTTGCTTCTTTGGAAATTGTTGTATGAATATCAAAATAGATCTAAAATATTGTTCAAAGATGAGCAACAAGAAATAGAACAAATAACGACCGATTGTCCTATAACAGAAAGCGTTGAATATCAATTGCTGCAAACTCGTCTATTGCAATTATTTAAACTTCCCATAGGTTTATCAAACACGATGTTGGAACTAAGTGGACCAGAACGCATATTTTTAACAAAGGAAGAGAATCAGAAAACTGTTACAAAAAAAAGAAAACTTGAAGAGGTCAACCCTGTAAAATTGAATAAGAAAACAAATAACTATATTTTTGCTAGTAGCAGTTTTAATATTGATTCCGACGAAACTGCAGATTCTCCCATACTACGTAGTTGCAAAGTAGTTTATAAAAAATATAAAATTATCGCGCAAAATAATATTTAATTCTTGATATCATTAAAACAATACAAAGTTAAAAAACATTTTAACATAAATATATATGTGTTATATTCTTTTTTTTTTATTTTATATTAAAATAAACTTATGTAAGATTAATTTTTTTATTTATTATAAATATAATCTGTCGAAAATTATTCGTATTGTGTTACATAATAACTGTGATGATTAGTGATAAGTGAGAATGGAAGAGTATATTTTGTACATACACACATATATATATATATATATATATATATATATATATATATATAAATTACAAACATGTATGTGAACTTCTACTTTCTTTCTTTCTCTCTCTCTCTCTCTCTCTCTCTCTCTCTCTCTCTCTCTCTCTCTCTCTCTCTACGATATATATATATTATAGAATATAAAATTATAACTATAAATTTTAGGAAAATTACAGCTTAAATTTTAATGTCCATAAGAAAGTAGTATTTAACTAAGTATAATTTTATGTAACTTATTTACAATTTCTAGAATTAATGTTAAGCGAAAGATGTAATTTCTTTTTTTGTAAAATATTAGAAAAAATGCAATAACAATAAGTAAAAAAGTATATTGCACATATATATATATATATATATATGTATATATGTATATCTATATATTATCTATATATATATATATATATATATATATATATATATATATATAATCTATATATATATATATATATATATATATATATATATATATAAAAGTATAATTTTTATTTTCATGATAAATAATTTCTTTTTTGTTTTATTATAAATGTTATTATATATTGTACGTTTTTAAAATTAATAAGTACTATAATATCAGTTGTACAATGATATAGAGTCAAGTATTACATATTATTTAGAATCGCAAACTTAATCTTGCAAAGTAATAAAATAGATTATTTTAGAACATGTAACTATAAACAAATGCAAATATAAACAAGAGACATAATAAAATGCACTTTAACATATTATCCATTATATATATATATATATTAAAAATGTTAATTTATATAAAATAATATGCTCCTTTCTTTTAAGATATTTATATATTATAATATTTTAGAGCAAAGATTTATTGAATACGCGTCATACATGATACATTATTATACACGATATAATGATTAGTATTGTCTGATAGAGATCTATTAGATGAAAAGAAGAAATGAAAATGTATATTTTACATGCAGAAAGTACCTGTGTTTAAGTTACACTATATGCATGTACATAATCCTCATTTAGTTAGTATATATATATTACAATTTGCGTGTGCTCTATTTTGTTAACACTATAACTTTTAGTTTTATTATGTTTTAAGTTTTTATAAAGATTAACGTTCGATCATTATTTCTTTTTTGACACCGAATTGCTGTAACTTGTTACAATGACTGTACATCCGGCTGTAAAGACTCCCCACAAAAATAAACTCGCTTCTATCTTACCGACTAAAGATCTCAAGTTGTCCAAAATTAATTTAAGTGGTTCATTTACGATTTTAAAATCGGGCTTGTCTTGAACAACCTTCATTTTTTTTATATAGTCGATAAATGGCGGATGATCCCGGCTGAATATCGGGAAATATTCCCCTTCTTTCTCTCTGACCCACCAAGCATTAGGATTTGTCCTATATGTGGGAACATTATCGATAAAATATATGTAATAAATTATATATATTTATCTTGTAAAATATTTACGTTTGGCTCCATGGTGCATAATGATAATAATAAAGACTAGCTCTGATATATTTTGGTGGTCTATCTCGAAATGGACTTTCGACAGTATTTATTAGAGCCAGTACTTCGGGCTGCCCAGTCAATAAACGATAAGTTAGTGACATTAACCATGGATTTTGTTTATATGTACCTAATGCAGCGAACCACATTTGCCAGTCGAGACGAGGTTGATGAGGTGCTGCAAGATACATAGTATTGATAATTAGCTCCAAAATAATGCATTTTACATCAAAACAATAAATAAATATAGAATATACAGATATACATATGAATATATCTTACCAACAAATGGTAATGAGTTGTTAACGTTTCCTGGTTTGTATAAAAATTCGTATTCCTTCCAAGGTCCATCAATACTATCACTTCCTTCTATTATAACTTCTGGTCTACCTTCGGCTCCTGTCATACGACGAAATAATCCATAACTGTTCACTAAATGAAGATGCTCCACCTTTGCATACATCTGTTTCAATTGAACGGTTGTCGTCGAATTTTTCGATAGAATTGTAAAAGTATGCAAAGTGGAATATGGTACCTGCAAATATTTTATGTCTTTATGTGTATGCATGATGTATTATGTGTTTTGTTTTAAAAGTTTAGTAATTAGAAATAATAGATAAATCAGAATTGTTGTACTTACAAGGCTTATAGCAAAAATCAAGCACACTGCAATGGTATAGAAAATCGTAACTATTGTTGTTGTGATTTTATTACGTGTCCCTTTTGTCATAATAGAATTACTTATCGAATCCACTGCCGTCAATCCAAGAGATGCTATACCAATATATATAGAAAGCGATACTACGCGAATCAGAGCATAATCAAATTGTTTTTTTGTAAATGCTATGAAAAAAAACAATTATTATCAATAAATGTACATTCTAGATTAAATTATTCAATTATTATCAATAAAATAAAATACCGATATCAGATTGAATAGTCCCATTGTCTGTTAGTCTAAGATTATAATAAATATGTGTTCCATATATAACTCCTCCATAAACCAATATACATATTAATGTCGAGAAATAATTTATAACACGAGACTTATCATTCTTAGATTTTCGTTTGTAGAAAAATTGATCGTCCAGTAAGGATATGCATAAACAAATCGTTAGGAAGTTGAAGAAATTATAGTTTCCAGTGGCAATTATGCAGATTTGCAAAAATACCTGAAATATTAGAGAAATATTATAATGATAATAAATCATTATTTATGAGTTTGTAGATATTCTAGCTTATTATATAAAGGTATTATAGAGCTAAAACATACCTGCAAATAAAATGCTATTATTCTCACTTTCCTATTCAGGAAGAAAAATAAGAACGGCACTGCAAGCTCGATTACGTTTGCAGCAACAGTGGATAATCGAAGAAACCATGTTGGCAAGTGATGTACATACCATGCCAAAGGAGTAGGTATACATTGAGATTCAAAGTGGACATTTAGAGCTACAAAACATAGTAAAATATATTCCATAAATAATGCATAACATTATTTTTATATATTGAATTTTATAAAAATTTTTACCATCTAATTTCCACCATAGTGGACAATCTGAGGTAAGTTTTACTACTCCACTAGCAAACATCAAACGGAAAAGTAACCAACGCACGGTCCAGAATGTCACAGCATCGCTCGGAGTGCTTGATTTTCCACGATGAGAATACCAAAATGGTGCTACAAGTATACACAGGAATCCGACTTCCAATAATAAAATATCCCTGTATAAATTAGAAAAACAGAAATTAAATTATTAAGCAATCAAATCATAGATAAATGAATAAATTATATATATTTTATTTTTTAATATTTTACACATATAGAATTTGAATGTGTGTAAAATTTAATTATCTAGAAGATTATAACAGTTGATAATATTTAATAAATCGATAGTAATATAATCTTTGTCATTGAGAGATAATGTAGATTGAAACTAGATTTATATGTTATATATATATATATATATATATATATATATATATATGTAAAATATTTAAATAAATATCAATAATAGCATAATAGGATACATTTGGGAAGAAATATTAGAGTTTGCAGTATTGGAAATCTAATAATTTTACGATAACTGCAAAATTATATAATTAAAACATTACAAAACTTACCATTGAAACCACATAAATGTTTGACCAATCTGATATAAAGAATAATATAAGGCCCACAGTCCTGCAAATATTGGCGCAATACAAAACTTTTGCGAAATAAATCTGTAAGAAATATAATTTCAAGTATTAATGAGTCTGCTATATAATTATAATATAATTAAATTATATTATATTAATATTATATTTTGTATTATGTTCTATATATTTTGTATTATGTTCTATATAATTAAATTTATTTTTTAAATGTTTTTAATCTTACAATTTTTTAATGTAATAACATACCCTGCAAAAGAGAAAATAATTCCAACGAGAGATAATACATCCATCATGTATTCTACATTTAAACCTAGATATGGTGCAAACCATAAGAATGTCGGTTTCTGCTTCAGTTTATTAAATAATGTTGCACGTGCTTTCAGATCCACTTGTGTTCTGGCTGGTAAGATTCCATTATCGCCATACAATCCTATTTTATATTAATTAATAACATTATAATATTAATAACATTAAAGTATTACTTTTTAACTTTTCTAAAAATAAATGTATATATACATTCCGCAATGAAATTTATACATGATTTAAAATTATATCTTATAATTCAAATCCCTATATATAAAATATATCGTACGGCGAAAAAAAAAACGTAATCATTAATTGCTAGACAATAAGCAAAAAATTGTTAATAAAAATTCTAAAAATTATTATTATATTCACTATACACATACATAAGCGTTTTTGAAATAAGAATGTATAAGCAATCTTCTTGTTTCTTTTTTTAATTTTCTTACGTGGTAAATATAAAAAAAAAGTACATTCCTTGAATTAACATATTATATGAATAATAAAAAGAAAGAAAAAAATCCCGTGCAATCAAGGAAACAAGGATAGAAAATTAACACAGAGTCCAAATATTGGGGGTCAAATATTGGAGTCCAAATATTGGAGTCCAAATACCTTAAAGACACGTACGTATAAATACTTACCCGGAATCTGTATGTAAAAGCTGAGGAATGCGAACAGGTATATAATGCAGATTCCACGTAGGAATAAATTACGAGTATAGCGTACTTGCGCCATAATTGATGTTGGATTCGTCGTCGGATTTCGTTTTATGTTAGAAAGTTGATAATTGATCTCGATAGCGCGCGACTAACTACCGGCGATAAATGCGAAACATACACAGACACACATACACACATCTAACTCGGTGACTTTCGACGTATCTTACAATACATATATATAGCGATACACGAGATATGTACATATATATACATCCATATATATGTATAAACAATAGAGAGAGTGGGACCGCTGGAATTACAGCCCAAGCCGCCTTTTTCACCTAATGGATGGTTTTCATGGGTTCCGATTACTTTGGGCTCGATTACAATTGTGCGATAACAGATGATCGAATGCGCTTATTGGCTGTCAAAATACATTCGCAATCATAAACATAATAATGTAAATTATTTATGATTAATTAATAAATTTTATATATTATAGTCTCTTCAATATTTTCGGAAAGAGAAAAATCAATGCTCGCCAGATTCATACATTCTAAAACATTTGTCGATTTATATTATTTATTTTAAAATAATAAGAGCACTCTCGGTCTTGATTCCAGAATAAATAAAAACTATTCTACTGTAAGTTTTTAAATTTGGCGCAAATTTCCATTACCCGTCACGTGACTCGCATTTCTATCAGGATCACTTCCTGGAAAAAGCAAAATGGTGCTGAAATTCACATCTGTGAATTGATATGTCATTACATATTTATATCGCATTTAACACTTTCGATTATTTTCAAGGAAAGTCAAGTGACATTCAATAAAGAACGAAGAAAGAGGAATACTGCATCTTAATATCTAGATAGAGTTCATTTATTAAAATAAAAGAAAGATTACAAAATGCAAGGTGTCAGCATGGTCGAGCGACTTGGATTAGGCCCCGAAGTCCGCGAACTCAAACTCGGGCCGAGTTTCACAAGCAACAGTTCGAAGTTTCATACCTTGAAATGTAAGTATGATAATTTCGAAGTGATTAATTGTCACATATTTATTTGAACAATGTCAAATTAAGAATGTATGTGAATACAGATGAGAATTTTTTCGCATAGCAGAAGGAAAAATAAATATGATATTTTCAAACTATCAATTGCACATCTATAATTTTTTCAGATGATTTTAAACCTGCGAGCGTCGAAAATTCAAAAGTGGCTAAAGTCGATGTAGGTTCAGATAATACGATAACAGTCACAGTTCCACATTTAGATGGAGCTGGTGCACCTCAGACTGTGTTCAAAGGTTCTCAAAGGCCTTATAATAAAGAATACGTTCTAATATTTGACAAGACTACGGGAGATATTACATTGGAGAAGCTAACTGCAAATATCCAAGTTAAAAAAACACGGTATGTCTATTACGTTTTTATTATATTATGTCTATTGTATCACATCTTATACTTTATCAAATGTATCATTTTTCTTGTATCATTTTCAGAGCGGAACCTAAACGAAATGGTAATAGTAACTCTGTTCCTGTTGAGGTTAAAAGAAGCCCTCCATATGGCAGGGCACATGGAAGAACCAAAGTTATCAGTGGGAAAAAGAAGGAACCTCTACTTCAATTGCATCCCAAACAGAGTCCACAACAGGCATCACCGTATGATAAAAGAAGTCCACCCAGTACATCTACCAATAAGTATGTTTCAAATGTATAAGTATGTGAAAATTATCATATAAAACCTTTTATCCTCGTTAACCAGATTTCACATTAATATTTCTGATTAAAAGCATGAATGTTCAAGTGCTGGCTCTTATTTTATTTATAAATATTTTATTGCATAATTGTTTTCTATATTAAATTAGGCATATTAAACAAAATGATATCTAAGTAATAAATAAATTCAACTAATCAAGCATGCTTTAGAAGATAGATTACATAGAGGCATATTTTCAATTATATCTGATTGATTTGGTTACTGCATGCCATTTAAGTTCTTTTATATAATATATTATGATATTTGCCTTTTTTTTTAGATAAATCTAATATTTAAGAAATTATTGAATATACTCTAATTGAATATAATTTTATTCAGTTGTTCACCTGTGCCTATACCATCAAATGGACAATCAACCTTGGCTAGCTTACCAATGATTGGTTCTGATAATGATGATTTTGTGCTATCAACACCAATGATGCCTCTAACTTCCTCTATACCAGCCATAACTATTTCTGCACCAAATGCAAAATCAACTACCTTAGAAAGTGATTCCAGTTCAAGCAGTTCAAGTTCTGATAGTTCAAGCAGTGATTATGAAACGGAAACTATTTCAGTGCCAACAACAACTAATGGTAAATATGTAGTGTAACAAAAAAAAATTTCTCTTAATGTTTTTTTAATTAAGAATTTATTAAAAGTTTATCTCTGATAAAACTTTCTACATTTTAATTGATTCTATTTTTGTTTTAGGTTATTTAAATGGTACGACAGCCTCACCTACATTGTTTATGACAGATAATAATCTCTTAAATGATGATTTACAGTTATCAGAATCAGAATCTGATAGTGATTAATGGCTTGTCAATAGAATATAGAATAAAATTGTTTAAACAATCAACTTTATTATTTTTGCTTAGCAATACTGCTAATAATATAACAATAATAGGAAATCAAAAAGGGAAAGGAAGAAATCTGAAAGATTGAATCTAAAGGATTTTATCATAATGGATAAAATTGATAAAATCTTTCAGATTTCTTCCTTTCTCTTTTTGATTTCTTAAAGTTATATTAAATTATATGATATATAGAAAAATTGTGTGAATATTTTTTTACGAGATATGTTAAAATAAATTGCTTTTTTATCATAATACATCATTTATTAATAGACTGGTAAAATATGTAGAAAAAGTTTATAAAATTTCATATCAGTTCTAATGAAGACAATTTTTAAAATTTTATACACATATATCATAACTTGTAAAAAATGCAATTATTTTTTTATAGTTCTAAACCATACAACTTTAGACGACATAATGTTTATAAGATATATAAACTAACATTGTATTAATTACAAATATTTATTTCGAATAAAATTATATGCATATAATTTTTATATGTATGTATATATACATATAAAAATTAAATTAATAAAATATATTTATGTTTATTTATTTCATTTTCATGTATAAATCTGTGTGACAAATATATCTAACTGCTGTATCGAATTCGTCCTAAGAATTATAGGTATTTGTGAGAATATATATATTTCTCTTAGTTTTATATATATGAAAGTATATATACTGTTTAAATAATATATAAATTAATAAATAGCGGTTCTCTTTTTTATAAAGAATACGTATAGCGATTTCTGTTTTCTTATGCTTGATGATTTTGATAATCTAATATTAATCTAGCTAGTTGACTACGTTTACCCAAATGATTATTTTTTAGTTTAAGGCAACTTTTACGAATACTATCGTTGGAAGCATCGTCACAATTAACATCTTTGTATTTTATTTTTAACGTCGGTTCTACCGCACGAAATATATGCATATCACTGAAAGATACATACATTTCAAACAGAGAAGTTACAGGACTGTGCTTGGAAAGTTTCAGTAACATAGCAATATCTTTATCGGATCGTGTTAATGGAATGCTCGTCTCAACTGTTTGCCGCACTGAAATATTTCAATAAATATATTGATTTTTAATCACATAATAGAATCGACTTTTTTCAAAATAAATTGACAAAGATATATAAACTTCATACTTGCGTTGTAATCTTTGATGTAAAATGCGATATTGTTATAATTTTGTTCATCATATTTCCCATAATTGCTATTGACATCCACCTCATTGGGAGTTGCTTCATCCGCGTAAATTATATCAGGATGAAATTCAATGAATGGAATCGGACTGAATATTTGATAGTGACTGATGGTATTCATACGAACCTGGTAGACACAAATGAATGTACATATATATATATATATATATATATATATATATATATATAATTTATATATAAAATATTTATCAGTATTTATCTTAGTTTACTAACTCTGTTTAAATAATCTATTTTCAATTTTGTTCTTGTTTCCATGAGAAGAACCAAACTCTCTGAAGAAAACTTCTTTGCGCATAAATCGGTCACGGCAATCCTTAACATTGGATTTAAATCAATGGATGTTACATTAATGGGCAGTCGTATGGACAGCCAAGTAATTCTTGACTGATCCTTTTTATACTTCTCATTCACCATTAATATGTATTTTTTTACTTCGTAAAAGACATCGTTTTTACCTTTCGATGGTGAATCGAAATTGTACAAGAGGACCTATATAAATAATATTGTATGTAAATAATGTCAAATATTAATATTATTTACTATTATCTTACCGCATTTATAATACATTATTCACCATTATATTATTAAGAAACTAAACCTTCTATTTAAACTAACCATCATGAGAAAAGTCTTGTATTTTTTTTCCATACAATCTTGTGCATAATGTTCCATAAAATTTAATGCATCTTGCTTTTTGTTCAAATCAATGGTGATAATTATATTAATTCTTGTATTTTCGGTCACATATGGCACGGGTATGATTTCTACTTTTCCTAACGGTTTACAGACCTCGATTCTCTTTCTTACTTCCTTGCCCGTGGCCACATCGTTAAATGCTATGTCAAGTATGTAATCCATTCCTCTGGATGCGTCAAATTTTTGATAACCATTTAGTAGCTTTTTAAAGCTTAGTTTGTTATCATATTTACTTATAATATTATTCGTAACTGTGTTTATCACATAATCTATATCGGATTTTGTATCGCCTCTTAGTTCTTGAATATTAACGAAATCGGTCTCGAAGAAAATATGAGATTCATTGAAATATGACCAACGCAAAATATCAAAACGTCCCAGAGGTCTATTTCCAGGTTGATTTCCAATGGGCCATGATACATTACGTTGATTCGACGGACCTAAATGTGCAGTCACAGATATTACTTTACGTATATCATTAATCAATTTGTGAACTTTGATGGAATTTATCTGAAAGCATGTATCATGATTATTATGATACAAAGTTATACATATGTATATCTTATAAAATTTTTTAATAGATGGATTATATAAATAAATTTCTTTCTATCAAAACGCCTTATAATTTACAGTATATTATTTTAGAAGACTTACTGCAGCAAAATACATATTAAGTTTGTAAATAAGCATATGATCATAAATAGGATATATGGATAGCGAATTTTGGAATTCATTTTGATCAGTCAATCGAGCAAAATCCTTCTCGAAATTAAATGCTGGTCTCAATTGTGTAAATGTAAAGTTTTGGCCTTGTACTCGATTGCTACAAGGCATAGAAGTGGAATGAAGAATGCAACGACCAACATTAATATCGTCAGAATCTGAATACGCGTTCTTGACGCACCAGTCTAGATTATTTTTTATTTCTTGTATAATAGAATTGCTCAAAAGAATACCAGATTCTGAAAATAATTTTCATTTAAATTACCAATTAATTTATATATATTACATTTAGATTATAAATATATATATTTTACCTAGAGAACAATATGTATCAATTTCACTTTGAGCACCTATATGAACATTTTGACTCACGCTTATTTTATTTACAAATTCCATCAGACCTCTTGCATTCACATAACTCACATCTTTAATTAGAAAATAATAATCATAGCTCTCTAAATAATTATCAATGATATATTTCATAGCATGAAAAGGTTTCAAGATGCTTCTCGTATCGGTAAATCCCACTATCCCAGGGAAAGAAACGTTTGGTTTGGTCCCTTCTGGTATGGAGATAAAATAACGAATTTTATCTACTATATGAGCGATTGTTTTGTTCAGTGCTACATCTCTACTGTGAAGATGCTCTCGACTCGTTATAATTCCCACAAACAATTTCTCTCTAATTCCAAGCTCCGTTGAATAGTATCTCGGACGCACAAATGTTTTCTTTGCTTTCTGTACCGATTGTGGTTTACTATCGGTGTTTATTCTTGGTTCGTATGGATCTATGTCTTCCAAAGTATTAGAGAAATGATCAAAAGATTCTGCAGCTTCATGTTGTCTATCAATGTCGATTGGAATCAATAATAGACTGAAACTTAGGCCCATACATATACCCATTATCAAGTAAGCATTGCTCCAACAGAGCGAATACAAAACTTTAAACAGTGGTTTCATTTTGCTGCATTTAAGAAATTTCCGCTCTTTCAAATTTTGTTTCTTTATTGCGTTTAAATTATACTTTCAATAATATTTCTTTGCAAAAGAGATAATTTGTTATCCCCAAACATTTTAATATATGTCTAAAATATAAAAATATTTATATTGCGCTGAAAAGTATAACATTGTGTAGTTTGACTGCATCTGTAAATAAATAAATAATATATTAAAAAGTATCGTGTACATATATATATATAATATATTGTCATGCATATATATATATATATTTATTACTAACATGTATGTTTGTTCAACAAAATGCCATGATAACCTTAACTTTTCGATGAGATTCGATGTTTACATTCCTTGTGCATTCTTCTAGCTTAATATCTTCGCAATTATCAAATCATAATCGTTTGCATTACATTCACCGATTTGTTTCTGTAATAGATACGACAAATTTTATTAACTATACGATAGAGAGAGAGAGAAAGAACGTACACGTTCCTTCGCGCAGCACGATCTGTCATTCATTTGACATAACACATATATACATGCACACGTGTGTATCGAGTTACACCGTGTCCTTCACGACCAATTCATACATTCATGAATTCATTCATATATATAAAATCACAAGTGCGCCTTGCAGTTATGAAATCTGTATATTTCACGTGCATAAGAAGTTGCATAGTTGCAGGTGCTTTCGTAATTTTCATCTCGACTGCCATTTCGATAATTGAATAATTGTATGAATATATTAAAAAATGCTTTATATATATATATATATATATATATATATATGTGTGTGTGTGTGTGTGTGTGTGTGTATGTGTGTATGTGTGTGTTAATACGAATATAACGTTTGTCAATTATCGACAAATTGTTCACGTTAATCCTCGCGAAGTTTACGAATTGTTACACACTTCGTATCAATGTAAGCGTTACAAGCATTGCTTTATTATGACAGTATCTTTCATTGCATGCTATTTAACGCTCCATGGAAAATACATGCAAAATAACGGCTAGGATACACACGAATCACGAGCATACGATCGCCTCTAAGAATGCCCGTGATATGACGCTATGCGAATCGTTTTTCTTGTCGTATTTTACATTGCGACTTATGTGGCAGGAATCGCGGATGATGGTGAGACCACCAATATAATGCCAGGTAATTACTTAACGTATATTAAATTCTTCCCGAATGTTTTCTTTATCAAACGTAGAGATCTTAGCAGTTATATGATAAACAATATTTGTTCTAGCATTATCGTGCGCGTATGTTTTCCCAGTTTTTCTCTCTTTAAATATTTTTAGGAAACGGCATAAAGCATATTCTCAGACAGAAAAGTGAAGCGATACAAGATAAAATAAACGAGAAATTTATCGATGATAAAATAACTCGAGAGATAAATAAACATAGGAGACAGTCGTTATTAATCAACCGAATTGATAGCTTATCGCAAAATCGCAAAATTTTA